ACATAATAAATAACCTTTCTTTTATTCTTTATTTCATAAATGTGAATAAATAGTCAAGTTCAAAGATATTTCTTTTAATTATAGATTATAATACCACCACAATTTAGTCTAATTATCATGATTACGGTCGAATGTTTAAAGTAGAATTTAGTAATATATATATATATACTATCATCATTCTATACTCCATTAGATTTAAACGTTCTGAATTCTTCAATTATATTCATTAGGTTAGTAGGTTATATACACTATTAAATGATTTGAGAACAGAAACTGTATTCAATTATTCAGTTTTTATTTATTTATTTATTTATTTTTAGTTTATATCAGTTCACAATGAAAACTTATTTTACGTTACAAATTGATTGATCTATGTTAGACAATTATTGAAAACTAGAAAACATATAATAACTGTTTCGTTCTAGTATGAGATCTTTCAATAGTGAATAATCACGACCTTATTAGAGATTAAACTTATAGCTTTTAATATTAATGAACGATTAATGTTAGAGATATAAGCCATTAAAAGTCAGTATTCCGAGATGTTTACTATGAAATGTGAAGGTCTTGTGTTAAACTTTTGATGGAGTAGTGGATGTGCATTACTAGGATGAAACACCTCCCGAATGTGTTTTTGTCACCAACGGTTATCTATATAAGTCATCCAGTGGTAGTGAACTTGAAGTTTAACAGTTTATGAAACATTGTTTCCTTTTTTTTGGTTACCTAACTCTACAACGATTAAATAGAAATAGTATGTGTTTTTAGAATTTTTAAATAGCGCATAAAACTTTTATATTTTTTATGCATACATATTTCTTCCTTGTATGCGATTACTTCTCCTTCTGATCAGTTTCGAAATCTTTTAACATCTTATACTGTTTAGAAAGACTAAACATTTATCAATCACTTCTGCTTATTAATGTTGAGATGAATTCTTGAAGGCCTGATGTAAGGTTGTGAGTTATATAGTTCAACTCTGTCAAAAATGAGATGGTTATCATCATTAATGACACTTTGATGATCTTAACTCTATATCCAGAATCGAATGACGTTTATAAGTATAAACTTCAACTCAACGGTTCAAAGATAAGGTGTTTGCCATGAAACCTACAATCCATAGACTCGATCCCTGACGTTGCTATCGGTTTGCACTACGTTGATAAGTCCCACCTTGATACAACAAAACCCTCCGGTGATTCATGATTTTGAATGTTTCTTCCGATAAAGTTAATCTATACTGAAAATCAGCCTAAACGTAATTTCGCTTTCACTTGTCTGTAGATAAGGTTTTTATTGATAGGTTATTCAGAACCTCATTTAGTAATAAAGCACCCGCTTGTAGCTAGTCTTTCGATGTTATGGCTAGGTTTGCATATCGTGATGACCCGACCGTTTGTCATGCCCATTCCTTTAGGATCTCTCATGCTGATCAGATTGTATAGATAGTGATATGGCTGAGCATTGGTACGTTTCTCTCTTCCCATAATAAAAATAAATGGTAGAAAAGGCCGGTCTTTAGTGTTGTACACCTCACCATACTTTATAAATGTAATGCCTGCGTTAAAGTATAAGATGTAAGAGGCAAATACACCAACGATTATTCACAAGACGTCCTTATATAATCGACTTCAAATACTTGTACTTTGGGTACCGCGGTCAAGGCCACACCTAACCCAATGTCGATTTTAGCTATCTCAACGGGAAATATCCTCTCGTAATATGATCAGCTAAGAAGTAACAACTATCATCATATTTCTGACTTCACTTGAGATCACTTTGTTCACAATCGATCACTGTCTTCATTACCTAACATTCCTTTTACTTCCACTCTTCCTAGCAATAAAGTTGAATAAAATCCGAATTACATTTTTAACTTCCAATTCTATTTCATTAGTATGAAAAGGTTTATGATGATTATAAAATATAGAGAACTATATATAACACAAATGTCTATTTCGAAATTACCTGGTTAAAAGATAACTCAGACCTTGCTTACTACACGGAAACATTTCACACGATAACAAATTTGACTATTGCAAAATTTCCACAAGACTTCCGTTCAAAATATTTTTTCGTGGGAATACATTTTACTAGATAAACCAGTTATCATGAAAATGTTGTAGTGAACAGAACACGGATGGGAACAACCGAATTGTATTTAGCACAAAATCACAGAGTTACTTGGTAAAATAGAAAAACCATATAGTAAATCATTAATTTGCAAAATATCATTCCATCATATCAAACCAGACTGTTGCTGTTGCAATCATCAATCCATTGTTTCACATTTCATTGTTCATGCGTTTTCTTACAAATTTCATTGTGTTCCCGCTCTTCCTTTCTTGATCTTCCCCCATCTTCTGCTGCCAGACATTACGTTTCTGACTCGCGTCATATACTACATACATCAATATAAGTAGCACGCACCACAATGTGACATCATACAGAATAGGTTTATTAGTAGTTCATTTAATAGTTTTATTTCGTTCATCTTGAGTTCTAGTATTTCTTCATAAATGCTTTGACATTATATCTGTTCGACATAAATTCTCAATGTTTAGTCTTTCTCATTATCATTACTATTACAATTATTTCCATTTCTTTAAATACTCATCTTGTTAATTTTACGTCATTGTGATGATTTGGTATGTTAACTTCTGCCAAAGAACATGTATGCTCAACTCTTTGTTGATCATTGTTGACTAGTTGTTTGAAGTAGATAACCCTACATAAACTTCGTTATAATAGTGTTACGTTTGACATTTAAATATTTGAAAATTAAATCTAAGGAAATAAATTACCATGAGAAGCTACTCTTAACTTTAGGCTTTTTACACTAGAGAATTTCTTGGTGTCATAACCGAAAATTCCATTTATATTACCATTCATATAATATTTACTTCTCATATGATTCTGAAATTAAAGTTTATAAAACATTTACTGTTGTGATTGTTACTTCTTAACAGCTTATTTCAGAACAAATTCTTAAGCAGCGGAAGATGCATTAGTGATTAATGAGTTAAAAAGCAAGCTTACAATAAGGATGGTGAAGATTTGTAGCTCAGGTGGATTATTATAATGGAGTTTTGTTCTCTGAGCTACAAATCTTCTGTACCATCTCAAAATCATATATGAGCGTAGTACACTTCTTAATGTTCGGAAATCGAAGAATTTTGCCAAAATGTAGGTTTCCATGCGTGCCTTCGTTAGCATGTTCTACATACAATAAGGGTTATATAAAAGCATTATAAAAAAATATTAACTCAGTCAATCATTATCAACGCAAAACCTGGTACTTATATACACCAGTTTTAGTTGCCACGTCAGCACGGTAAGATAAAATTATCAAGATAAATACTAAAGTAGCATTAATGGTAGTAAAATGACTAAGCCTACAGTAGATAATTCGAGTATAAAAATTATAAAGCACTTTTACAATTCAAGATCTAGAAGAATATAATCAGTGGTTAATTTTCATGCATGTCACCTAAAGTCTTTAGCTACTGATCGCGATCATAATAACTGCGTAGACCCCAACGAATTGATGTGAATCTACCAATATAACTTCGTGGACTGACGCCACGTCTTAGTTTGGCTGCCTCTAGTTTTCAGTCAACTTATTCCTACATCCTTTAAAATTACACGTCAAAGAGTAGGTGTGATTAAGCAAGTAACACGTGTCTTAATCACTTCAGTTGATGGAAATTTACAGTTTTATCAACCGATTAGTTATCTTTTCCTAGTTCCCTGTGTTTAACCACAGCACCACTCGATTGGGTGGCACCAACATAAGGCTATGATTAAATACTAGTAACCTACAGATACTACTGTGGTGCGTGCTACTTATATTGACATAAGAAGTATATTATGCGAGTCAGGAATGTAATGTCTGGCAGCAGAAGATTGGGAAGATCAAGAAATGAAGAACGGGAATAGAAATCAATTAGTATAGAGATGCAAGAAAAATGAAGTCCGAGACAATTATTGAACATTTATCATTCCTTTATGATTCACTCGTATTGCCGCAATCTCACGCTCCAGCTCCTCAATCTTCTCGACACTATTTATCTCCTACTTTCCGCACCGTACCGGAGCTACTGTTCGTGTCATCAGCTGTCAGGTCACCTTCGCCAGTTCACTGATATCCATAAGTTACGCTGCGCTTACTAGTTTCAGCTGCTGGGAAACGGTGACAGACAACCGCTCCGTGACTGTCTCCCATGTCGTCTTCCCGCCAGCATCGTCCAAGCTGTCATATACAGCCTTCGCCCCGCCTCTCAGCAGAGTCCCCAGCACCACCATCTTTGCTTTCGGCTCCTTCACTCCCACCAGATCCGCCACGGCCTCAAACTCCTTCAGGAAGCCCACCACATCTCCATCCTCAAATTCCTTCGGCCATGGAATCTTCTTCCTTAGTGGAGGCAGCGACACCAAATGTAGTGAAGGAAAACACAGGTGAGGACAACCGAATTATATTTAGCACATAGTCACAGAGTTACTTGGTAAAATAGAAAAACCATACTATAATACCTAATTTGAAAAATGTTGAATAATTGTCTCGAACTTCATTTTTCTTGCATCTCTATACTAATTGATTTCTATTCCCGTACTTTCTTTATTGATCTTCCCAATCTTCTGCTGCCAGACATTACATTCCTGACTCGCATTATATACTACTTATATCAATATAAGTAGCACGCACCACACTACTACTACTACCCATATTTCATGATTTTCATTTCTTACCTTCTCACCAATCGAATATTATATTCAGTTACTTGAATAATGTCAAAGTATTTTCCTCTAATAATAATAATAATTAATTTTAACTAAATACGTTCATTATGTTTTATTTGATCTAATTATTATTTTAGATCGCAAATCATTTCCAAAAGACAATTCGTTTCTTACATTGTTGAATAAGTGTTTCAATGTTCCATTTTATAGCTCAATAGTGACTCGCAGTTTCTTTTTTGTTAATTTTTTTATAATTATAGTTTAAGAAAATGTTAAATAAAGAATTAAGTCAATTCGCTGATGCTGGTCAAAGTGGCAAACAAATATCCGAATATATTTGTTCAACATTTTTAGATTCAAAAGAAAATGATCCATTAACAACTACAAATCATCCATCTATGATATCACATAATAATACACATGGAATAATGTCGAATAGTATAAATAATCATGATAATCTTTCTGAAGTGAATACATATAAACCTTTAGATAGCATAAAGAATTCAGAATCAACTGGTATGTATTTATTTAAAACTGTTGAACCCGGTGAAATAATTCAAACAACAGCAACAACAACACTGACTGACATTACTGATGGTGATACAATGATAGCAGTGACTAGTGATAATAACAGTAGTAATATTCCTAGCACAATTAAAAGTACAACCGCGACAATGGGATCTACTATAATGAGTAAATCATTGTCGAAATTATCTTCCTCACTATCAACATTATCATTGAAAATGAATAGTAATGTGAATGTAAATGAAAATACTAATAGTAATGACAATGATAATAATAATAATAATATAATGATTAAATCTAGTGGAAATTCTCATATCACAATGTCAATCCATTCTTCTGGTACATCACCTCCTCCTCCTCCTCCTCCTCCTCCTCAATCTCATCAACATCATAGTGAATATGATAAAATCCATTATTCACAAACACAAATTGTACCATATGTAATAAATTCAACAAATCCAAAGAAACTTGAAGATGTAAGTTTTCATATTTATTCTTTGGTTCTTTTGTATTTTAGACTATATATATAGTGCAATTTTCATCACGGATTAGAGTTTCAGCTCAGCAATTATTAGAAAAATTGAAAAGTTCTAGATAGATATTTTGTTGTAATATAGCACACCTCAATAAAGAAATCTTACGATCTTGTCAAGTGTCACGCGTTGTATAGGTAATGTTATGTCGTGGCTCAAATTACAATGTTTAATTATAATATAGTTAGAGATATTTGATAATAAATGTTATACCTACGTCCTATACTACCTGGCACTCGTCAGAGATCGTATCTGTAATCTTGAAGGAACTGATGCTCTAAGTGAGATTCAATCCCTCACCGACCAAGTCTATAATATTTAATTATTAGTTAAATTTATCATCATTATCCTTATCCTTTATTATCACTTTTTCTATCCATTAAACCGGAAAATCACTATGTTAACAAAGCATAATTACAATTGATTAATCACTAATATCACGTTTGTCCAAACCTTCAGTATTGATTATATCCTATTGATCAAGTTTCAAAGTAACCGAACTATTTTAAACGAATCGACATTGAGTGCATTTTATTATGATCTTTACTGTTTGAGATAATCTACAGAAAACTCTGGATCTAGGTTTCGTTCTATTTGATGCTCGTCAGTAAAGTGTATCTTTGACCCAACCCCATAGAGAGTATCGGTTCCCTCTGGATCGCATGTACGGATCTCTGACAACTGCTTACCAGCACGACGCTTAGGTTGAGTTAGATTTCCTACCGACTACACTGCATAATTGTCAGATAAACAACAGTCTTAAAAAGTTAGAAATCAAATTTACCAATAATCGTAATAAACAATTCACCATTATTTTTAGATTTTGTTTAACCGTGTAAATTTACATTAAAAGGTAACAACTTACACTATTTAGCAAAAAACACAACATTACTTTTAAGGTACTCGATTCACATTAAAAATACGACAGAAATTTAGCTACATCCATGTACAAATTACCTAAGCATGAATTCAAGCACTATTCACGTTTATCTGTCATCGTTTTGTCTCCGACAAAGCAGTTTACCGACCAAAGATGTCATTGATATCTCAAGAAAATAAGACCAATTCACTATGATTAATAAAGTAGTTATTTATTCTCAAAGTAGAACTTGACAATATGATCACCGGTTCAATTTGCTATATCATATCAGCACAGTGTCGTACGAGAGTTGTAGAAGTAATAACATTATCAGTCACAGAAAAGATTAGGTATTGGTGACATACTTTGAGAGAATATGAATCTATCGAACCCACAATGTATATGACATTCTCTAGTTTAATCAACATCAAATCATTTTTATTGTATTTTTAAGCATCCTATACACTAATGATCATAATAATTTAACATAAACAGTTTATAAGCGACACTCATAACTCCCTTCATAGAAATAGCTTTCATTATTTGGATATTGGTAGCTTTGTAATTGAAACACAAATTTTCATCAGTAAGTTATAAGTTCAAATTCTTTTTTCATTTATTTCAATAGGGGCAACCGCATGATTTCACTTGCCCTTACACAATAAAATTATTTGATTTCAAACACAAAAACTTATATTCGTCAAATAAATCATATTATCTAATGATCATGTTCGTTTTAAGCATTCGTGTACGTGTAAGTAGTAAAGTTCAATGAGCTGTTCAGATGATTTAACCTTAAATATTCAAAATTTTATAGAATGGACTGAAATTAGTTAAATGATCATCAAAACTTGAATATCTATTTCGTATTATTCTGGAAAACTCGGCATGTAGCTCTTCTAGAGTTATTGTCGGTCCCAAGCCCGGATAAAGAAGGAGGGTTGGGCATTGGGTCGACAACGCTATTCCATAAAAATCAACCTAGCTGAAAAACGCCAACCAGATTAAACAAATAAACCATGTAAACTCTGCCCTCCGAGTTGAAGGAAGAATCATGACACCTCATGATGAAAGCCGAAATTCTTCGGAAGTCACGAGGCCGATGTCCCTTCTAACAACCAGAGCAACAACTCTTATATCTATATGAAACGTCCAGAAAATGTGGGAGACCGGGAGGATCAACCAAATAGCTATGGAAATGTGGAGATATAACTCGTCAGTATACGGAATAAGTGAAAACCATTGGACTCAAGCTGGACAGCAAAGTCTAGATACGACAAAGATGCTGCTGTACTCCGGTCATGAAGAGGAAGATGCTCCATACACTCAAGGAGTTACTCTGATGCTGTCCAAAGAAGCACGTAAGGCACAAGAAGACAGCAATTAACAACAGCCGAACACGAATAGAGAAAGTCAAGACCAAGCTGAATATACAGAAGCAAGCAAGCAAATGAAGAAGAGCATTAGAGCCGACAATCAGAAATACATAGAGGACCTAGCAACGACAGCGGAAAAAGCCGTAGGAGAAAGAAGTATGATGTTACGAAGAAACTAGTACAGAAATATACTAAACCAGAGAGACCGGAAAAGGACAAAGAAGGCAAGACAACCACCGAGGTTTAAGAACAGAGGAAAATATGTGTAGAACACTTTGAGGAACTCTTGAATAGACCTGATACCAATTCCTAAATACCAGCTGAAGCTCTAAGGTCAGACAATGAAGTAACTACGAGTATGCTTCACGTTCTGGTCAGGAATATTTGGGAGGAAGAACAAGTGTCGACGGACTGGAAAGGAGGGTACCTTATCAAGATACCAAAGAAAGGAGATCTGAGCAAATGTGAGAACTATAGAGGCATCACATTACTGTCAGTATCAGGAAATGTTTTCAACAGAGTGTTGCTGAACCAGACGAAAGACTCAGTAGACGCTCAACTTCGAGATCAACAGACTAGATTCCATGACGATCGATCGTGCATAGACTGAATCGCCACACTACGGATCATCATTGAACAATCATAGATTACGGAAACCACCAAACTATATCACAAGGCAAGCCCTAACTTGGAATCCTAAATGGAAACGGGAAAGCGGAAGGCCAAAGAACACACTGAGTCGAGAATTGGAAGCAGACATGGGAAAGATGAACAGCAAATGGAAAGGACTGCCCAAGAGAGAGTTGAATATAGAGTATTGATGGGCGGCCTATACTCCTCCACGAGGGGTAACAGGCGTAAGCAAGTAAGCAACTAGTCTGAAACTTCTCAGCAGTACGTAGTCACAACTTCACCAGTGGTGGAATGCAAGATCTTTATGCGGTTAAGTGAATGTTTAATTTTTGGACTATTGAGTTACAATTCAATTATGTTTAAATTCCGTTAATTTTTCACTTAAGACTTGAGTATTTTATCTGTTTAGTAACTTCGATGTTGTTAACCCTCAGATCGTTAGTCATTTAATCTACATCAATGTCATAACCAACATGATTAAATTCTTAACTAGACATTCATAATTTCTCACCTCTTGTAAAATGAATACATTTTTCTAAATAGTGTTTGATTTTACTCTCTCACTCTCCCTCTTTTGTCGACAAATTTAATTCCTTTGTTCATAAATTTTCCAAACAGCAACTAATTTGCTCTTAATTCGTTCCTCTATTTTCTTTTGCTTTAGCTTCTAAAAACTTCCCTTGATCTATGGGGTATTGATATATTTGAAGTAGACCAACTTACTACTAATCCACTAACGTGTGTATTTTATAATATTGTACAGGTAGGTTTTTAAAATTTCATCATCTTATTTATTTGTTTATGTTTCAACTGTATTATTTTCATACTAGAGTAGTGGTAGTTCGACAGTTCCACGACCTGATCAGAGAATGAACCCAGAACTTTTGAATCTTTCAATGAATGCTTAACCTTTAGACTATTGAGCCCGCACTGTTACACACCTGTCTAGAAGTTAAGTGAGATCGAAGGACCTGGGTTCAATCTACAGTAGGGTTCAGGATATGCACCACTGAATAGTCTTAGTTCGAAACTGACCAAATCCATTAGCTTTTATGCCTAGAAATGACTTGGATTTTTGATTGCTTAATGTTAAAATACATGTGTTTTCAACGTAATGTTACATTCAGTTTCTGATAATCTTTACTTTGCCTCCTCGATCTACCCCAACGTAAGCCACTTAAGATTGTGATGGTTCTGTTGAACGAAATTACAACGAACAGTTTAACAGAACAATTTCAGATATTCATGTTTCTCTGTGAATCACTTTAGAAAATCGATCCGTGCATTCTCTATTGTAAGCAGTGTCGTGAGGATTATGATTCTGAGGCTCGTAAATGTTTGTAACTGACTGAGTCGAAAAGCTTCATTGCCCAAAACACCGGAATAAGGCATCCGAATTCGGTCAACCTTCAAAGCTCTAAAGCACACGAATGGCAGGTTCAAAATGACTGTCCAAACAAAGTGTGTTCGCATCCGAGACCGAAGATTCTGAGTTCGATCCGCGCAGGCGGGCTCCTGATTCTCTGTACTGAGTCCCATACTAGAAAGAAACAGATATTCAGTTCTTCGTGGTTTTCAGTGATGGTTTAACTAAGATCAGTCCGTGGATTAATTTACGAGTACATGTGTTAACCAATAAAAGAACAGTTAGCTTGACAAAAGTCAACTTATTCAGTGACATGAAAAGAATTAATACCAAGTACTTATAAGTAGAACAGTTATAAATAAAAACCTCATGGTCAGCATTTATCGTTAAGGCATACCTGCCATCCTAAGATAACTGCTACACTCTGTTGGACTCAAATTGATGTCACTTGGCTTCACAGTGTGAGACGTTACCATTAATTTATTTTGACCGTGATAAAATTCCTGTAGGACTAAGATATTTCTATTGATTTACCACTGAGTAGTGACCAATGTCACGTTCACCTAGTTCTTAATATTGATCCGATTCTACCAATCAAGTTTAGACATAATCACTAATCTAAGTGGCTCAATATTGCTTGAAATGAGCTTTGTTACCAAATGAATGAAGCAAGTCAACAGGAAACCCTACTTGACCTAGGTTTTGTGCTACCAGGTACTCATTAGAAAGACATAAATGCAATCTATAGTTATAGTACCGATAGGAATAGAAGCAAATTTTTTCCACTTGTCAATACAAATTCTGGAGTTATAATCAATTCACAAGATAATACATTTGAAATACGTTTGTGTCCGGGATTAGACAAATATAATAGCAGTTACTTCGCATTGGTGGACCAACGTAAATTTTTTCTAAGGTGATTTATGTGAAGACACTGGATTATTATTTATCTAGATAGTTATAATAACCATAATAGTGATAATAATAGAACTCGTTTACATAGTAAACGTTTATGTATTCGGCTCTGAACTAGATTATTTGTGTGTGAGACCTAGAGATATTACATAACTGCCCAAATCAATTTAGATGGAGCGGTTTCTTGATCTCACATTGACGAGTGATATAACAAATCATACAAAATCATTAGAAAGAACCTAACTTTGAACCAATCTGCTGGAAATCCGTTAAACCAAATTGTTATGGTCATTTCACTAGTCACTTGCTTCAAAACGTGCTTGATTTTCTAATGATAAGTCAAGACCGGTGGAGTTTAGGTTTGTCGGCAAAGAAACATGTTATCTATAGCACGAGATGGTCATAACGCTACACTGCCAACTGATTAAAATAAAAATTTTACCCTGGATGCCGATTCATAGATTCTAATCGATCCCTCTGACTTATGAAAACTGGCTATATCTAAGCTATCCAAACAGGATTCACAAATGTAAACTAAGATCGATCATAATTCTGTCAAGAACATAAATAACAAGACAATTCAAGCTATAACAAATTAAATTAAATCCTTACTCACTGTACAAGCTTTCTGAACTCACTAACGCAGTCGATAATGCATTTTACGTCCGAAATGAAGGATACTGCGTTCAAGTCCCAATGTGGATTTCAGCACTAGGACACAAGTGCACTCAGCTGACGATTTCAAAATAAGATGGAACTCTCGTACTAGATCCCATTGCTTATCACAATCCATCTATTCTATAATCCTGAAAGGATTTGTCTCAAAACCTGAAATTCCTAGGTTAGATCCTTAGTGAGGTTGTAAGTACTCACTCTTAGGAAGCTCCATAATACGATGAAACAGCTGTCTAGTGGCCCCTGAATTTCAATGGTAACCCAACTAAGATCAATCTGTGACAAATACACCTTACAAATTAAGCCAATCTCCACTAAATCCTTTCTACTAAATATTTATCTCTATAAAAAAAATTATGGCAGTTTCAAAATCTACTTCATTATTTTATCATCAAATATTTATTTGTTTTTTTATTATTTTTCTCTACAGAAAAGAAATCTTTTGCAAAAATTTGCTATACCTGAACGTAATCTACTTCTATACATGACTGCTGTTGAAGAGAAATATAACGATAATCCGTATCATAATCGTGTTCATGCAGCTGATGTTGTACAGTCAACACATGTATTATTAAATGCACAATCATTAGAGGTAAACCACAATGTTATATTATCATTATTAATTTTAGTTTATTTATTACGGTTTGTGTGATATATAATGTAGCTCTTCTTAGATGATTAGTTGATTGGTTAATTAACTTATTTGAATTGTAAGGCTTTCATTGTTATCTCAACACATACTAGCAGTGGAATCCAGGACGCAGGTTTCGTCCTATTTGGGGAATTCACCTGCATCGCAGAGTTAATGTTCACTCCAGGAGTCGAACCTGGTACAGTTCACTTCAGACGCCGAGATGCAGATACATCCAGCTGACGAGTTCCAAGTATAACGAAACGCGCGTCCTGGATTTCTCTGCTAGATACCATCCATCTTTGCTTAGAATGCTTCTGATTTAAAGCGATATTGAAGTAATCCACACAGGATGTACATACATCAATAGGAAACTGACCAATTACAGTCCTAAACATTAATGGAAAGATTAAAGCAAACAATACAAAATGAATTTACATACTTTGGAACATAAAAGCGAATAGTATTTTAAAAATTATTTCGAAATCATTAGATTAATTTATTTTCTGATGGTATGATTATCTTTGTCTCCTGGCTTATGTTATCTTCATGAATCTTGACTATCTCATCTTGATTGGGTTTGTTTGTTTATTCGAGTGATCACCATTTACGAGATTGATTTACATTTTGCTGGTGTTAATTAATAAGTTGTAAAGATGTCAACACGCTGACTGATTGTAAATTGACCTAAATGTTATCCTCATTGGGGAAAAATACTACACTGACATTCTCCATTTAGCATAACAACAATTTCCTTATTAAATTTGTATCTATAGTATACTCTGCCTACATAGATTTTAGTGTTACTAGTACGTTGTGTTGTTTCACTGTGTTAATCTATGTTTGTGTATGCATAAATGAATTTCAAAATTCAAATATTATCATCAGTAAAGTTCACTTTGGTAACAGCACTTGAAAAATCTTGAATAAACTGAAGTACATGTACGGTGACTTTCTTTACAGACAATTAATATTATCTATGTTAAATATTAAATCTATTGGTATAAACAGTTAATGTAGATTACTGAAAATTTAGGGTTTACATAATGGACTAAACTTTGTTAAACGATTATTGATGATCAGAAAACACTGAACAGACATTTCATTTTAGTATGCCGCTCCTTAGAAATGAGTATCCATCACCTCATTGGGCACAGTAATCTAATGTCTTCAGATTTTATAGCATATACGTAACCCTTAAGCTACCAAGTTGACATCTAGTGATTTACACTTATAACTTCAGTCAATAATACCCAACTATATTCTAATGTTATTTATATGTAACTAACACGGATCCGACAAAGTTGAATCCCATTGATCTTTACTTCTCACTAGAACACGAATTACCTATCGAAATTAATCAATAATGTGATTACATGATTCACTTTTATATCAGAAGGAATACGATAGGCTTAATTATTCACCTACATATTGAATTCGATCCCAATTTTTCACATGATTCAAATGGATGTAAGATTAGATTTCCTTTTAAAATTGACTAAGCATTAAATGAATAGAATTGTCTATCAAACCGATATCTTTCAGCAACAAAATAGCTACAATATACATATCAGTTGCAAATTAAATGAGCATGCAAAATTAGCTGTAATTCCTTTTCAAATAAATCAAGTTCATTTTAGTAATTAAATCATCCATTATTAAAATTGAATGAAAAATTAATTTAAATCTGAATAGTCAGTCAGTCAGCTACAACGTAGAACCAGGCACATATATGCATCGGCTCAGGTTTCCACACCTTATTAGCACAACAAGATGAACACCGAATTCATAGAAGTCTTCACTTCAATGGTGGTAATATATAAAAGAAGGATTGTGTATGAGGATGTAGTACAGGAAGAAAGAATTAGTTCGTAGAAAGAAAGGTATAAAGCTATTCTAATCTCACAGTCTAAGGGAAGACAGAGTGTATGCACCTATGCCATTGTGATCGAGCCATGTCAACTAGAGTCTCCAACCATTGGAATAACTTTAATCGAATCCCGCCCCCCCCCTTCCAACAGTGTTTAAACAGTGAAATTTATCTACACTGATATCTATTAAACTTCCATTTCTAACATCCAATTTTTTATCAAGTAATATTTAATAAATAACGTTATATTATACTGATCACTTAAAATGTGAGTTATCAACATTATCGCACGAATTACATGGTTTATACACAAAGATGGACATTTCTAAATACGGCGAATAGATTAAAGCTTGAACTTCAACTTTGCCATTTAGATCTTAAGCTCTCACGGTGTGACCTGAGGGTTCAGTTAGATTCCTAGTAGAGTTGTAGATATGCGTTGCTGAAAAGCCACATAAGAAAATGTATCAGCTGTCCAGTACTTCTTGGTTTTCTAACTAAATTCAATCTGTGATATAAATGGTTGGAAGAAGGTTAGGGGCGGCCAAACCAAAACGTGATATCAGTGCTTGAAGTCACTAACTTCTAGTCTGAGCCATGTTGTGAGATGCAAACTACTTGGTTGGGGTCCGCGTGACTATCGTAACCAATGGTTGGAGACTCTGGATGACATGGCTCAGAATCGATCAAAATGGCGTCGGTGTATACACTTTCTGTCTTCCCTTAAACTGTGAGATTAGAATAGCTTTATACCTTTCTTTCTACGAACTAATTCTTTCTTCCTGTACTACATCCTCATACACAATCCTTCTTTTATATATTACCACCATTGAAGTGAAGACTTCTATGAATTCGGTGTTCATCTTGTTGTGCTAATAAGGTGTGGAAACCTGAGCCGATGCATATATGTGCCTGGTTCTACGTTGTAGCTGACTGACTGTGACGTAAATGACGTCGATACTTGCTCTATTTGATTAGTTCCTAATGAGTTGACTGTCCTCCTTTCAACTACATTTGATTGATTAAGATCAGTAATAAATTAGTTATAATAATAGGATCCGATCAGTTCAGTGTCAATAACATACCATCAGCTATGATTTAAACAAAATATTTGAAAAAGGGATCTAAGATCATGTTAAAAAGTTCAGTTTGTTTTCTATCAATTAGAATTCGATCATTTATATCCATTCATAATCTAAGTGATGCTGTTATTTTTAAAACAAATATTCATCCTACTACTTTATTTCCATGTTTTAAATTCTCATTGAAATAGATATGTTTATTCTTTGTGTTTCGTTTTGTTTTGTTTTACTTTTCATGTAATTCTCACTTTCATCTAATATATACATACATCATACATGTCTCTTATCAATTACGGAAATATCATCAATCTACATTCATCAGTCTGTATTTACAGATTTAGAAATTTTCACAGTACTATTTGCATGTGCTATCCATGATGTCGGTCATCCAGGGGTTACAAATCAATATTTAATTAATACAAGTAAGTTTTCATTTCACGAAAATTTGTTATTATAAATGGGTTTTTTCTTGATGATTTTGTTGGATTCTATGGTTTAAATCAATAATTGATTTTAGTTAGACAATTGCCATAAATCAGGAACACTGGACAGTTGTAACATTCTAGAATGAGATTTCTTAATAATGTACCTTCATCACTGCACCATAAACAGAATTCTGATGCCTTCAAATCTTTCAGTGAACACTGATCCTTGAGATTATATGTACATTTCGTGAAACTGTATAATCACTTCATCAATATTATTAATAACTAACCGCCTCCTATCCGATATGTTTAAACATAAATAGTTACGGCTCCTCATTAGAACTCTGGGAATTATTTATTGACGATGAAACTATAAATCATTTATGATTAATTCCTTAATCAATAATTGATATCTCTTTTAAAATGATTAGATAATAAACATTGTTTTTTTTTCAAAGATACATTTCATTGTTGTCTGTTTATATGGGATCAGAACTTAAACATTGTCATTATTCAACTTTCTTAATGAATTACTTATATAGGGGTTGTGGAGATTATTAAGTTTTTGATTGAGATCATGAACCGATTAATGTTAGACCATCACAATTGAAAACCTGGAAGCACTGGACGGCCGTTTCGTCCTATTGTGGGACTCCTCAGCAGTGCGCATCCACGATCCCGCGAGCGGGATTCGAACCCAGGGCCTTCGGTCTCGCGCGCGAACGCTTAACCAACTGGACCACTGAGCCGGCACCCAGTGGTGATAGTTTCTAACATCAACCAATCCACGAAATTGCGCGACCAACTTCTTAATGAATGTGAATTTGAAAAAAATAGGGTTGGGAAAATATCTTACTCAAGTGTTCTCCTGAATGAAATAAAGTTGATAAACTTATCCTTTATAAAAACAAACATCATTTACTTTTGTATAAACAATAGTTATATTATTAGTCTAAAAGTATATATTTCCCCCTTCTTTTATATTGATATCTGCCAATAAATATGACCTATTCTTGTTGTTATATGAACGTTTTTAACAGATGATTCGATTATGTTTATACTTATGAGCTTATTATGTTGTTTTTAGTTTATAATAGTCAGGAAAGGAATTATGTATGTGAGTTTCATTCTATTATGGATTTATCAGATAGATAAACTATCTCAATTTCAATATTCTCGCTTAGTTTTCTGCTCAAAGGTTTGAAGGAATAGATATCAACGTATGAGTTTTAGTGGAAATATTAACATTAAGATAGAAGTCTATCTAGATGGAACGTTCTAGATATTTCTAAAAAAAATCATCAAATTGTTTAATCATAAAGTACAATCAAATGAAATACATTTGTATTGTGTCATTTGATTGATTTCAACAAACCAATTTATCCTAAGTCGATTAGGTACTATAGAACATCAGTCAATTCCTCAATACCTCAGTAGTGATATCCTAAACTGTGAAACTGAGTGACAAGTGTTTGAATCCTACTGATAGTATCAGATCCTTTTAAGATTGTAAGTACATCTTGCTGATGAGTCTGAACTACCATAAAACCAATACCAATCAGGGTTTCCTACACAATAACTTTTACCACTTAACAAATCAATCTATACTGATATATCAGTTATTCAGATATCATTATCATCATTAAATTTCAGTCTTATTCATTGAAATTTAACGATCTGTGAAATTTATCGACTGAATACACCTTTGTTAACCATAAAGGCGCTACCATTGAATTGAACACTTTACATTTACCAATACAAATACTAGAAACTCTAGTTACTTTAATGATTTCACTGATTGAAATCATCAGTCAACTGAAGCTGGACCACCATGGAAAACCTGGAAGCACTGGTCTAGTTCGTTAAGCACCTGAGGCGAGACTGATAGGTCCTGGGTTCGAATCTCGTGGGGTGCGGGATTGTGGATGCGCACTGCTGATGAGTCCCGCACTAGGACGAAACGGCTGTCCAGTGCTTCCAGGTTTTCCATGGTGGTCTGGCTTCAATTGACCCATGATTTCAATCAGTGAAATATCTAAAAATCTCCACAAACCCTTTCTGACTTTAATTATTGTTTGGTGGTAACTGAAACATTTATGTTATTTATTTTCCCTTCTAAATGAATACATTTGTACTACAGCATTAACTTTTTCGTATAAGTGCCTTGTTATCAGTTTTATTTGTATGGGATTATCCTGTTGAATAAATTATTACATTTAAAAACAACTGTTAGTTAGACATGATCAGTAAGGGGTCTAGTACATATATACATTAGAGAAAGTTGTCACATACCATATCAACATGTTGACATGACATAAGACAAATAACAAAAGAATCGAAATAATACTTGTTGTAATAAACAAATATAATAATGGATTTCATCCTGGTTTGAAATAATAATGCTAGATTAGACTGGTTGCTCGGTCGATATATTAGATATAGACCGGATGATGTGCCCAAACAGATGATTCACGACCAATAATAGGCCAAACAATAATTTGCTTGACAAAAATACTAAGGGTTCATATTGAAAGTGTAGTTATAATATCTGTACAAATTACAGATTGACATAGTTTATCTTCGCTTGTGAACTAGTCACAGACCGCAACAATACTAATATTAACAATGATGAGAAGTCCTATACTGGGACGAAATGGCTGTTCAGTGCTTCCAGATTTTCAGCGCTGATCAGCTTATAATTTAAGCCCTGAAAATTCCACAATCCTTACGAATACTATGAAAACTAAAGAGTGAGGTCTGGAAAGTAGATACAAGTCCCACGGATAATAGATACAAAAGTAATACAGTCATACAAGAAGTTATCATAATACATTGTTTTCTTTAAGTTTAAGCTCAAGGATTCCAAATGGGTGATTTTCATGGTTAGGCATTCGCCCCAAAACTTGAAAGTTCTGGATTTAATCCCGGACGAGGTTGTAAGTTGTCACTGTTAACAAATCCTACACTATGATAAGATAGCTGTTCACTAATTCCTAGTTTTCAGTGGTACTGTAGTGGGAGCCACTTATATCCACATAAGTATTATATAACGATGATCAGGGATAGAATGTATTTCAGTAGAAGATCAAGAAGGAAAGGATGGGAACGGAAAGTAATTGGTATGAAAATGCACGAACAATGAAATTTGAGACAATTGATTGATATTTTACAAACTAACTATTCACTTTATGGTTCTCAGATTTCAGTGAGATATTCTGTAACTTTGTTCTCAAATACGTCCGCTTGTCCCCACCCGTGTTCTTGTTCACTACAGTACTTCCAACTGATATCAACTTGAGACGAATACAAACTAAAAGTTAAAACAATCTTTATAAAATCTCTTCAACTAGAAAGAAAAAATCACCAGAAATTAGTGACCATTAAACAGTTCTTTTCTCTTCAATTATTTAAAATTATCAAATAATTTATATTGTTGACCTTAACTCATTTCTTATGTGGCTTAGCATAGTCAAAGTGCGTGATAAAACTCTTTCAATAGTTGAGATCATGAGATAATTGGAAAACCTGAAAACACTGAATGACCGTTTCGTTATATTGTGAGACTCCTCTTTGGCAATGCACATCCATAATCCCGCCGCGCGGGATTCCAACCCCTTCTGATAATAAAATTCTTTATCAAAATAAAATATAATTATAAATTTTCCTATTGTACTACACTGGTCTGTTATTATCATTATTTTTTTCTTAAAATATTATCATCACTTAGCTCTTATTTTATGAATTCCAAATGTTACTATCGGATGATTTAATTCATCCTTACACAATGTGAATATAGTTCCTCTCTGACTGATTATACAGTTTCCAGCTGTTTATGTCTTACATTAGAAAAATGCATAATTATGCTAATAGACCAATCATAAATTATTATTACTATCATTTTTATAATCAATTAACGATCTCAGTAAGTTGATAAACTCTATATAAGAATGTAGACAATACTTACTGATGGTATTACGAAGATCGATTACAATTCAGTTGTGAACATCACCGATAGGACAATAAACACAAAGACTTATAGATAAATACTCAATGGATATTATTATTATCATTATTATAGTATGCTTGTATGTTGTAACGTTGAGGGCAGTCGATAAGAAGTCCTGTTTGATATAGATTCCATGCTATTTGCCACTTGTCAACAAAACATCCCTGGAATGAAAAAGGAACGGATGCTTTCTGTGAAGTTCGCATTCACATTGCCAAGCATTGGATTCTGTTACGTTACTATTGAACTATTTGGACTGTGACCAATCTTGTAGCCCTTGGTTAACTCCATTGACGATTATGAGATGATGTTAACAAATAATGAAATATAGATCCTTATTAAATTCATATATATTCTGTCAAATGACTTGTCAGTATCAAAAAGAAATAAAAAGTTGAATCTAAACAATGCTGAGGATGTTTGAATCTTATACACTATTTAGCAGACAGAAATGAGAATAAATGAATAGATGTAGAGTTGTGAACTCTGGTTATTACTAGTCAAAGATGCTTAGTTAAGTGTGTAATTCAGCTTACATATAAAAATAGATAATGTATGAAATATATAAGCAAGACTATAGTAACATGACAAAGCACGCATACATGTGTATAGAAAAACGTGCAATAGATCTAACTACGAAAAATATAAGAAAACGTATTTACCCACAAGGTCACAAAATACTTGGTCAATTTAAGTTGACATATTTACTAATTAGACTTGTTTGAATAAAAATGGATTGTTTAGAGGTTTGATAAGAACGGCCTGCTTCAGATGAACGATAGAATTCAGTTTATACTAACAGACTAAAATGACCATGACACTGGTCCCCATACTCAGTGATCAACCAACTATAGGTAAGTTTATGTTTTACTTTTGTATCGTTTAATTCTCATGACATTATAAAATGGTGAAAACAAAGTTTAAAAGAAAAACCCAAAACGATAAAACAAACTATCTATCAGTAACATGTTCTATTTTTTTTGCTTTCCTATAGATGATCAATTAGCAATTCTATACAATGATTCATCTGTATTGGAAAATCATCATTTAGCTATAGCCTTTTCCCTATTAGGTCAACCAGGTCATGATGTTTTTGAGAACTTTCCACGTAAACAACGACTTAGTTCTAGACGTATGATTATTGATATGGTAAGTTAGAAATGTACTATTATTATTATTATTATTGTGATGTTAAAATAAGAAATGTTAGTGTTGTTATAACATGTGACCGTGGATTAGAGAGCATGGTCGGGTAAAACACGTGCGAGCAGCCTAGAGTCCTGATTGGTCCTGCTTTCCGCCTAACCCAGACAGTTAAGTCCAGAACACCAATCCGAGCCTTTGAGATATGAATAATTTATTTCAAACATACTGAGTTTATATACCAATCAAACAGATCACAACGTACCAATAAAATATGGAACAATATTTGTACAAGAATTAGCCAGATGTAGCTGTGAATGAGGGAGATAGTAACTAATATACTGGGTATAACTCAAGAATGGTAAAACGTATAATAATAGTTCATGGGTCAAAATAAAACTTATAATAAGAGGAATATGAATATGCATAGTTTAGTTACTTAATAATTATACAATATACAATATACGTATAGTATTGGTCCATCAATAGATCCCAAAAGTTACCATTCATTATTCTTGTCAGGACATAACAAGTATTATAGAGAATTCAGCGAAGGAAATGTTCTATTCAACTAAATCATTTACTTAAGCTGTCGTTTTTCTTTATATCTGTCAATTATTTAACTTGTAAATTATTTTCATCCTTATATTCTTTTCTTATCCCTTGACTATTGCGTAACCTTATTTGATAATAAGAATCTTGAATCGATTTATGATGCTACATTTTCTATCTTTCTATTGACATATATGTTCCATATCCAAATGTACAGCTTAAGTAAATGATTTCGTCGAAAAGAAAAAGAATTTTCTTCTGGCTGAATTCTCTTCATTTTTATTTGATAAGCTATTTCATTTACAGTAATGGTTTGAATTAACCCATTGTTAATGTTGTGAATCACCATGAGAATTGCCTTATTTTACACTTTATTGAGTTTAACAGTGAAATCCACTATATCTGTTTCGTCCTATTTTGAACTCTTCAGTTAGATATACCCATGTCTTAGTTTTATTATTCGAATTGGGACTCGAACTCAGTTCCTTTCGCTTCAAATATCAAAGCCCTAGTCTACTAAGATAATGAGTTCAGATAACTTATTCATTTTATATGATGTTTATGTCATTATTAGTCTCAAATAGGACGAAACCATCGTCATAGATTCTAATTTTATACACAGTCTACCAATTCCCAATCAAAATTATTCTCAACTGAAGTATTCAATCTTCCCTAATATATTGAGCTTTAATTTACCAAAATTCAAAAGGTTCGAGAAATGACCCAAAGTTTTGGCTTTTTCTAGTGGTAATTTTAGTGAAGCACTATCAAATAGGTCAAGTGCTTCCAGTTAAGTTGGATAGTAGGAAGCAATAGAATCCGGGATGCGCATTTGGTTGAAGGTCAAGTACCTTGTTTAAAATGTGATGAAAAATGATAAGTACTCTCGAACAAAATGATAGAAGAAACAAGTTTTTGATGCAACTTTGAATAACATATGTTCTACGCTCACTCAATTAACAACTTATAATATGATCTGATCTATAAACATTAGACTGAAAACACTGTCTCAATATACTCAATAATATATCAGATAATTATTAGACCACTAGATTAGATAACATAACACACAACTCCCGATCAGCAATTGAGAGCCAGATAACATGAGAGAGAAATCCTGAGTACAATACAGTGAAATCAATAGTGAGAGGGAAATTATAACATTATATGTCTATCTGTCTACTAGCTCAGTAACCAATCGCCACTATCACGTGACGTGTCCGTTTCTTTTTTCTTATTGTACAACTGAGTTATGTAACGCATTGATTTTGATAACACAACTCATTTGAAATGATTGATGGCAATTGTTACTACATAAGTGTTTTTTTTTGAAAAATCCAGTTTGATAGTAATGAATTGTTTAATTAACAGAAATATGGAACATCCATTAGATTGGCTATCTATATTTATTATCAGAATGGGTTTTGTGGAGAATTTTTAGAAATTTCACTAGTTGAAATCATGAGTCAATTGAAGCTAGACCACTATGGAAAACCTGGAAGCACTGGACAGCCGTTTCGTCCTATTATGGGACTCCTCAGCAGTACACCATTGTCTTCAGTGAGTTCCTATCTTACAACAGACCTGGTTGAACTCCACTGGTAACGACTTCTCGTGGTGGCGCAATTTCGTGGATTGGTTGAAGTTAGACATTAACACCGTTGGATGCCAGCTCAGTGGTCTAGTTGGTTAAGCGCCTGGGGTGAGACTGATAGGTCCTGGGTTCGAATCCCGCGGGGGGCGGGATCGTGGATGTGCACTGATGAGGAGTCCCACAATAGGACGAAACGCCCGTCCAGTGCTTCCAGGTTTTCCATGGTGGTCTGGCTTCAATTGACTCATGATTTCAACCAGTGAGATATCTATATCTATGCACCAGAAAGACACAAAAAGAAATAAGTTTTCAAAATCTCTCATGTTGTCTATTTCTTTCTACTTGACTAACCTAATAATTGAGAAAGTAGTTTCTTTGTCCAATGTCCATTTAAAGATTATACAAAATTATCGGAGAATCGAACCTCAGGACTTTTATGTTTAGAATGGTGTATGCTTAACTATTCGATCATTGGGTTAGAGCCTCTTGGTATTTACATTTTCAACATTAACCAACTTCACAGCCTTTATCCAACACATTCCAAATGACAACTAGAATTTCAGGACCTCATTCTTGGAAGTAAACTATTAATGTTCACAAGACCATAGTTCTGTTGGAAGAACTTTGTGGAGACTAAACCTTAGATAAGTTGATAATATTTCGAATTATTATTGTACTAAATGGTGCCTTAATGTTACTCTAAAAATGTAATGTTTTTTTTAAAAAAAAAACTAGGTTCTAGCTACAGATATGTCTAAACATATGAGTTTGTTGGCTGATTTGAAAACAATGGTTGAAACAAAAAAAGTTGCTGGATCTGGTATACTTACATTAGAAAATTATATTGACAGAATGCAGGTAAATTATTGCATTGTTTTCTTATATATTGATTGTGTGAGTTTTTTCTCACTGTTTTTTTAAAAGATATCTGTAATAAAACAAACCAAATCCATAGTTTTTCTGTCAGTATGAGGTTATAGAGATAGTTGACTTCCACACTGTTGGATACCGGCTTAGTATCTAGAGGTTAGGTGTTCGTGCACGTGACCTAAGGTTCTGGGTTCAGCTCCCGCTTGCAGAGTCGTGGATGCACACTGCTGAGGAGTCCTATACTGGTACGAAATGACCAACCAGTGCTTCCAGGTTATCAATGATGGTCTAACTTACATGACAAAACTTTTTTCTTGTATGATAAATGATGTTTTTTAGTAAACGGAATACACCCATTAAGACATTAAGTAAGAAAATTGATTCAGTGAAGAGTTCCTTTTTCGTCGAATTCACTTTTAAAGCTGTACAGTCGCAAGTATATATATACTTTTTTTCAGGATGATAACAATTACAATAATTACCATAATAATGGCAATAAAATTCGGTTAGACATGGTGACAGTGAGGTACAATAAACAAGTGTATTTAAGATTTTCTATTCTTAACCAGGGAAAATAATAATCGTTTGATTGTTAAGGGCTTAAATACTCATCGTAAAGATTGATAGGGAGATTATAATTGAGAAAGGATGGCTCAGCATGATAAGATAAAATGTTGAAATTGAGACTAAATGTAATCAGGAGGATCATACAAACATAAATAAACCAGTTGGTGATAGGAAGTTTATCAAGAAGATGGAAGGGGAAGCAGATCGTTGTAAAGGAAGAAGAGTATTATCATCTTGAAAAATAAGTAAATATATTTGCGATTGTACAGCTTTGAAAATGAATTCACCAAAAAGAGAACTCTTTGTTGAACCAATCTTTCTTATTTAATAAATGATGTTAACTTAAAACTATGTCTTTAATTTGAACACTAAGGGTGACTAAAATTTGAGTCCAACAAGGAGTATAGGTTTTTAAAAAGTTTGAAGTAATCAACATGAAACTTTGGATCTAAAATTAATGCTAGTTGACAATCGTCAGCATGGTGTACTTAGCTTTCTGAAGGAACTGGTGCTTTCTATGAGATTCAAACTTGAGTCAATCAGCTCTACAGTTTGAAACGTGAGCAATGAGTTATTCCTCCTTCAACTTAATCGATAGATATTGATCAGTACTAAAAGGCTAAGTAAATATTACATCATTCATTACTCAGTGATAAGTTATTTAGGAGTATCAGTTCCTTAGAGATTGTAAATATACCTTGTTAACTTAAAAGTTTAAACTATACCTTAAAATTTACGTTTAAGGTCTCTTTTAAATGTCATTCAGCCATGTAAAACGTCTAGAACAATATATCTCCCCATGTTTAAATAATATTAATAAGTAGTACTTATGCATATTTTTTTCGACTGTCATATTGTCTCTATTAACTGGAAAATTCAAGTGACTGGTACTAGTTAACTCGTTTACGTTTCAACTGCTTTCCACAATTAACTTACTGACGCCTGTTACTCCTCGTGGAGGAGCATAGGCCGCTCACCAGCATTCTCCATCCAACCCTGTCCTGGGCAATCCTTTCTAGCTCCGTCCAGTTGTAATTCATCGTTTTCATATCTGCTTCTATTATCCGACGCAATGTGTTCTTTGGCCTTCCTCTTTTTCGCTTCCCTTCAGGATTCCAAGTTAGGGCTTCCACAATTAAAATAAAGCAATTTTATATAAATTATTAATTGTAAAGTGAGTAGACTGAGATTTATATTTATATTGTCACTAATTTTCTAATACTATATTTAGATAATAAAGCTATATGCTACTATCTAATTGATAATGACCTAAACAATCTTCACCTCAATCGAGTATACTGATGAGGATTGAATCGAAATAGATAGACGGCTTCTATCCATGAATAGACCAAGTTTAACCATATCAGGTAGATTAACACAAATAACGGAGATAACCATGTGAAATCTCAATAAGTGAAAAGAAATCAAATATTCGATCATTTGAATGGAAAATATACCTACCAATCAGTCAATATAAAATCTGGCAATAGATGTGCGTTGGTCCAAGTAACTGTATCACATCAAGTACAGTGAGATGAAACTATCAACATGAATAGTAATGTCAGGAAAGTAGCTGCAGTATCAGTGATAGATAAAGAGAATATGATTCGTGACAAGAAAATAAATTTTCAGAATAAAACTTAAAAACTAATCTCATGACCCAATATCTAAAGCAAAACAAAACGTAAACAAATCTCCATTATGATTATTCCTCGTGCACATCCTAGTCATAATAATAGTGCGAACCCCAACCACTTCTGAATCTACCGATATGCCTTAGATCAAGGATCAGTAGCCGTACTCACCATTGGACAGGACTCAATGCCTAATTGATAAGCTGGGCAAGTCTGAACTTGTATACAAGTCAGATGGCTCACATGATGTTTTAAGGTCAAATGTCAAGTGGGAAAATGTAAACAAGGCACATTATTACAGGAAATCTATTATGAATCTAATTAAAACTTCAGCTTGCATATCCTCGCCTAGGTCAGAAAGATAAATGTATAAATACAATTTATTTTTTGTACATATTCGTTCGCTTTTGCCAATCACAGCTTCTTGGTCACTTCTTATCTTTCTCACTTGCATAGTTGTTTGTCTAAATGTATAGTAAGCGTGTATTACAACTATAATCTTATACAAAATATAATTGTTACGAGAAAAGGAAAGAAACTTTTTTATCAGAACTATCTTCATTGTTTATAAATTGAAAAGCTCGAAATTTATCCTAAAATCATGCTTATCACGCAACTTCATCAACACAAGTTGTGAAATCTAAATCAGATAGTTAATCATAATTGACGGGTTGTCATCGATTTTAAATCTGACTGACTATATGAATATGCGAGTTTAATTAAACAATTTTCAAACTAGTCAATCTCGAAATTCATTTGGTGTCATCTTACTTGTATCTTCCCATTGTTATTTAGGACTGCAATTGATCAGTCTCGTGTTGGCATATGTGCATCCTGTGCGGATTGCCTCGATATAGCTTTAAGTCACTCCGAGAACATCAACTCTGGGATGCAAGTACGTCCAGCTGAAGAGTGCCAAATAGGATGAAACACGCGTCCTGGATTACTCTGCTAACCACTATCCATCTTTGCTTAAAAAGCTTGTGACTTAAGGTTATATCGAGGCAATTCGCACAGGATTCACATATGCCAACATGAGACTGATCAACTGAAGTCCTAAATAACAATGGAAAGATATAAGCAAAACAACAAGTGAATTTAAACTTCACACCACCGCACAAGCAGATGGCTATCAGAACTTAGTAGCTAAGTGGATAACGCGATGGCGTTTTAAGCGAATGGTACTGGGGTCGAGCCCCGGAGTGAACACCAACTCTGAGATGCAGGTACATCCAGCTGACGAGTCCCGAATATGACGAAACGCGCGTCTTGGATTCCACTACTATCCACTATCCATCTTTGCTTAAAATAGTCAATCTCTGTTACAAAAGATAAGGTATAACTTTCCTAAACATAATGATCAATTAATTAAGGATTTTTAGACATTACATTGAACTAATCGTTTGATCAAGATCATGAAAGGCAACTTACAACTAATTAACAAGTTATCTTTCAATACCTTGTAAATATATTAGTTTAGATACTAAAATCAGGAGTGTTTAGAGAATGAAATTATGTCTGTATTTATTAACACAGAGTTTAAAAAAATCAAATCTCATAAGACTAAAAGGTGATTTTTAAAGTTTACATGACAAAGTGATCTTAGTTAGACAACTATTCACAACAAAAAACAATGCACTTGATATATGTTTCATCGTAGTATAGGACTCCTCAACAGTATAAATCTACGACTCTATCCGAAATTAAACCTATAACAGGATGAAATAGTTATTCAATGCTTCCTGGTTTCCAATAGTTATCTAGCTAAGATCAGTTCGTAACATCATCAACTATGATCCTCAACAATCTCTACATACTTCTTTCATTGATAAAAGTTAAATGGTTTACAATAATACATGAATGTAAATCAGTATCCAAGTATAAATACATGTTCTCAGATATAAAATAAGCATAGTTTGAGTGTTGACGATACTGTACGACTAAATTTGCTATTGAGACATTAATTGCTTAGACTATTAAACTGTAATGTCAACTGATTAAGCAACAAATCATTCAAACATTTCTTCTAGTCACAGAGTTGTAGATTATTTCTCAAGTCTATAAATGTTATATTTTGGTATGAATCCAGAAATAAATAAATGGCTATGATTATAAATTGACTAATAAACTTAAGCAAACAAGAATCAATCATAAACAAAGATGAAAACTTTGCTTGGTTTGGGTTAGCAAGATAACAGCGATCAGTTATTCGAAACGTTGCTATACGTAGCTTCTAATAAGTTACAATAGACCAGAAACATTTACTTGATCGATATAGGAGTAGGCTGAAATAAAAGATAAGAGAGGAAAAATCTAAGATGTGACATCACCCTATGAAGTTATTGACTGTTGCATTGAGCTGTGTTGATCAATGAAGAATGCTAGGTCACGATCCTCATTATGATTATTGTAACCATTGGTTGAATAATTTGGGTTACATACCTTCGAATCGGTTGCAATGACCCAGATTTTAATTTATAAAATTATCTTCTACTTTTCTATTCTACGAATTCATCCATCCTTTTGAAATCATATTGTCTATTTTGAACTTTTCTTGATAGTTCTATTACACTATACTGATATGATAAAACAACTTGAGTCGATGTACATATATATTCCAGATTCTTCATTACTTATAACTGACTTATAGAATCGATCATAACTAGAAAATAATTCATCAAAGTACATTTATTATTAAGTCTTATACATTCATCTCTTTATTACCTCTCCATTAGATTTTACAAAATATGGTACATTGTGCTGATTTAAGTAATCCAGCTAAACCATTAGATTTGTATAGACAATGGACTAATCGTGTTATGGAAGAACTTTTTCAACAAGGTGATAAAGAACGTGAATTAGGCATTGAAATAAGTCCAATATGTGATCGAAATACAGCAACTATTGAAAAATCACAGGTAATTTATATGATACATACATAGGATATAATATTTGTGCTAATTTAAACTTTTCAATTATTTAACTTATTTAACGATGGTATTAATTGAATTCAATTTGTGTTAGAAAAAGAAAATTTCAATGGTTAAGATCATGAGTCAGTTGAAGCTAGACCACCATGGAAAACCTAGAACACTGGACGGCCGTTTCGTCCCATTGTGGGACTCCTCGGAAGTGCACATCAACGACCTCGTCTCGCGAGACTTGAACCCAGGACTTACTGGTTTCGCGCGCGAGCACTTAACCACTAGACCACTGAGTCGGCCGGCATCCAACGGTGTTAATATTTAACTTCAACTAATTCAAGAAATTGAGCGACACATTCACCATTGTCTTCAGTGAGTTACTATCTCACAACAGACCCGGTTGAAATCCACAGGTCACTGCTTCTCATTAGAACTCCAGGATATACCTCGTGAAGCCAGTCACTAGTGATCATACGTTGATTAATATTTGTGCCAATTTAAACTTTTCAATTATTTAACTTATTTAACGATGGTATTAATTGAATTCAATTTGTGTTAGAAAAAGAAAATTCACGTAAATATTTAATGAGTTAAATACCCTATTTAAAACACACGTTCACAAATATACTAGATCTTAAGTGACAATATCATGTCAATTGTATATTGGTCAGTGATGTTATTTATTTAGACATTTAAACATTGATACAAGGAGGCATCAAATATATATACCACACTTTATTCGATTTGTGTGGGGTCTAAAATACAGTACGACCGCCCAAACCGAAGCACATAGTTTTTTTAGGGGGTCATTCCTCAAACCTTTGATCTAAAGATCTAGTCCACAAGGCGATGAAGCAACGTTAGAAGATGCAATCTCATAGTAGCCGGTAACCAACAATAGGTCCATAAGCCATTTTCTTCGTCAAGGTCCTAAAGCCTATGTGTATCATTGGTTTGGAACCAGGGTTTTCCAACTCCCCTAGGTGGGTCCTCCGTATCGGTCAACCCGGTTAAGGCACCAGATATTCTCTTTTCGTCCTTTTCAATTTCGTAAACAACACCCCTTCACAATAAGGTAGTAAAACTTCCCTAGCAGTGGCTGTGTAGGCCAGGCCATGTGAAAGCATTTCGAGAGGAAGAGCGGACTCTCCCCACCATCGACCGTACCAGGGCATAATAGAAAAATTGAATAGCATTTCAGCTCCTCAATTCAGTCCTGTTAGCTATTACACTTGTGTACCACTGCAATAGCCTTGTTCAGTATGATGATGAATGAAGTAAATTGCTGTTCTCAATTTAATGAATAACGAATATAACACTATAGACTAACTTGAGAAAATATAAGTCTTTCACAAAGACAACTAATACAACACTGTCTACATCATGGTACACTTGATGTTCTCTTAAGGAGTATTAGACAAAGTATTCATCCTTGGTTTATTGGTATAAATTCTGCCATTTTTCCACACCATCACTATTAATAAATCAAATCAGATCATCCTTACACTTACACTATAAACAGAACAATATTTTATCATTCTTCTCGACTGAATAAAATACTCAATTCGCTAACCTTTTGCGTGGGACTTACACAATTCTCCAAATTAAACTTACCAAGATGCAAGGAGCTTCTATGCAAACGTCGAAAAACTTTATCAGTAATGTAGAAACACTAATCAAGAACTTATGATCGAATTTGACTAGTCATCCCATCAAATACCAGGTCAAATCTAGTTTGGGCTGGATAGATTTACTTACTTACGCCTGTTACTCCCAATGGAGCATAGGCCGCCGAACAGCATCCTCTATCCCACTCTGTCCTGGGCCTCACCAGACAATCTAACCACATGTTAAATCTGTAAGAACAATCAGTAACAGTCCCCCGTTATTTCAACAAGATTGCTATTTTTCGATAATCGACAACAATGCGTATCAACAACTCCACAGAAATTTATTGTACCTTTTAGACTAAAACACGCGTTTTTCCATACATCATTTAGATGAACAAAAGAATTTCATTCATTGGATGCATAGAGTGCGAAATATTTATCATCTGTGTAGTTTTTCAGGTTGCCTTTAGTTTGAATTTGGGCTTACCACTTTTGTAGACCTTGATCTAACTTGAATTTAATTGTATGATGATGTTACCGAAATATACATCCCAGCTACTCTCGTATATAATTATCGACTTGATTCATGTTAGTGAATAACCGGATTAAATAAGTCAAATACGAGAATGAAGTTTGAATACGTATATTTCATAAACTCGTTGATCAGAACAAACCATCAGAGAAACGAAGTGCAGAAAGCGAACCGAAGAAAGCAAGTGAGCCAACTCGATTTAATCAAGCGTGACCCAGTATTTATAGTCATGTGATGAATAGGATAAGCAATGCACACATATACACTCATATAAAAGCAGTCAAGGTTAATAAGCAAATAATCAACAAGTTCAAAGTGTGGCTCGAATAAACCGGTCTGTCCGGAATCTAGGGCAACCCATGTGGGCTTGACATAGCAGCAGACACTACAAAATCTCCCGTTTTCCAACAGGCATCTTTAGTATAGGAACTGATGAAACGAGTATTTCAGAAAACATTGCTTGATTGGGCTATTACAAAAGGTTATCCCAACCAACTAGTTAGCAGTTACACTCAGATTTCCGAATAAGACAAAATGCTTATCCTTGATTCCAATAATAGTCGCTATTAAAAACCATAATACAGAACTAAATCTCGTTTCAAACTTTTATGTTTAAAAAAAATTCCGCTTCTTCTATAATGCTCTTTTTTTCGATTTCTGTTTGTTTTTATTTCGGTTACTCGTTTATCACTCCTACCACCACTGTTGAATAAAATATGCCGTTTTACTGACAAATCTGTTATATATCCTGTACATACATCCACGTACCTAATAGATCAGCTTTATTGATTATATTGTTCATCCATTATGGGAAACATGGTCGGATTTAGTTTATCCAGATGCACAAACTATTTTAGAAACATTAGAAGACAATCGTGAATGGTATTATAATCAAATTAATGAGGAGAATAATAATAATAATAATGAAGAAGAAAATGATGAATGATTAAATTGATCAAAACCACTAAAACACATCATGTGTATATACACTTATTTGAATTCTGCATTTCTGAACTGGATTTATATTAAATAATATATCATTTATTGATCATTCAATTGGAATTGTTTCCCTGTTCCCATACATTTTCACATAGATTCTCTTTTTCATAATGATTATTTTTGATTTTTTAATTAGTGATGAATAAGCTTACCTCTCTCTCTCTCTTATATGTTAAATGAATAGCGATATCATAAAACACATAGAAACAACTAACATTGAGGATATATATATATATATATGTTGATGTATATTGGAATTTTATAATCTTTTATTGAAAATCTAGTATTATTTACCATTTTATAATCTGGTTTCATCCTCTATTGTATTCAATATGTTTATGAATAAATAATGAACAAATACCATATATTAACCATCTTGTACTTTTTCATTCACTTTCTCTCTCTCTCTGTCTCTGCGAGTAGCAAAGGGATTTTATGTCTTGATAGAACACTGCCGACGATTATATTCACCTCATTCTCTCTCTCTCGTTCGCTTGCTTTCTCTCCATTATACACACTTTCATGAAGAGTAAAAGTTGAGAATCCTTCTCACATTTCATGATGTATTTATTGTACTTATATGCGTTTAGTTTCATACCATATATATATATACATAACATTGCTCAATTTCTTTTCGCATTTCCTGATCCCTATTACAGTTTTTGTCTATCCTTTAAGTTGAAAGATATATACATCATAATGTTTACAAGTGACAGACATAAATTTAAAGGAAGGAAAAATGTGTTCAGAGAAACCTATCATTTTTCATTAGTGGTTTACATTGTTTCATGTACACGAATTGTAGAGAGAGAGAGAGATAGAAAAAGAATGCAATTACTGACGTTCATGTTTTTGATAGTGATCCCCACTACCCATCATCATAATAACGATGTTTTATGTGTATTATCTTTCTTTATATATTTTTTTTGCAAGTATTTCAATAATCATAGTTAATAATTAAAAGACGATAGGAGAACAGATTGATGATCATTTTCTGATTAACTTCATTTATATTTGTTGTATCTGTGTAATCTAATCTCTTTGATTTTATTGTTGTTCCTGTATTCATGATTTCCATCTAACTTTATAAACACATTCAAACATCATTCTCAATAAATGTATATCATAGGGATTATAATAGTTATTTGAAGAAGAAGAAGAAGAAGAAAACAAAACATGACCAGGTACATGTTCTCGTGTACGTATTATGATGAATACTACTTAAAGCCGGCAATCAATCAATCATACATTAATACATTTCTCATTATTATCTTAATCTTTTACATACATACACACACATCCACCACATGTCTCTATATCGATTAATCGAATATAATATACAATTATCTTGGATTATTATCATTATTATTGAATGTTCACAATAATATTTATTAATAGAAAGAGGATGTTGAAGAAATATGTAGAAAAGAAAAGGTATACAATGTGATAAAATGTATTGATTTTTTGTTTATTATGGATTTACTTCTTTTTTTGTTTTGTTTTTCTCTATTCATTCATTACTGTACGTCATGGTTTTGTTAACTTTCCTAAGTTTTTTCACTTTGGTTTCGTCCTCTGACCTTTCTCTGCAAGGATATATATATATATATATATATATTTCGATGTGTGATACACACAAACCTAAAAAGTAAGTGTCAGAGGGATTCACAGTGAAAATCGACAAGGAACAAATGAGAATAGGCGTAAATAGAAACCCCTTGTCATTTATTTCTTTTTTTTTTCGTTAAACAAAAAAAAACCTATTGACTAAGCATACAGTTGTTGTTGTTGTTGTATTTTTTTTCGTTTTGCTTTCCTCTCTACTTCTATCACCACACCTCTTTGTATTCTTTTTATAGTCAAAACGAAATGTGTACAAAATATAAATAGCGTTTGGTTTATCAAAATTTTTTTTAAAAGAAATTGATAGAAACGACCTTTTCTTCAACAACAACAACAACAACAACAAAATTAAGGCAAACATAATCATCAAAAATAATCAAATCGAATAAATTGAAAGAAAACAAGAGAGAGAAAAAAGAAGGTAATCAACAATTAGAAAAAGTCTAATTCACCAGGTAATGGTATTAAACCATTATGGCATAGACTGTATAGTCGAGTTTCAATATTGGCCAATAATGAACTAGCTCCAAATCGTAAATAATCTGGATTTATCCAATCAGAGCCAAGAACATTATCGATTAATTGGAGATAATCGATGGCATCTTTAGCTGTACGAAGACCACCGGCAGGTTTGAAACCAACCTAAATAGTTTATTAAGGAATAAGTATTAAAAGTAAATGTTTAAATAATTGATTCCAAACATTTAAACTGATAAATTGTATTGATTACAAATTGATGACAATTGAGGTTATATTGAAAAACAAGAAAACACTGAACAACGGTTTCGTTCTAGTATGAATCCTCAAAAGTGGGCACTCACTACATTCATACCGACCGAATCCAGGACCTTCAGGTCTCTGTGAATGGTTAACCATTAGAATCGTTATATCACGTCCCATAGTACAGTTTTAATTCAGCATATAATTCGATGATCCCTAAGTGGGTCGAGTATGCTCACTAGTGAGATAAACCAGTCGTCCCGTGAGCCCTGCCGTCTAGTGGTACACTAAATGAGACTATCTGTGACGAATATAACCTACAAATATAATAAATTCCCACGAAACTTTTCAATTAAACTGATAGTTAATGGGTAATAAAAAGTGAATGTACATAACATTTTTTAATGTAAGTTGACCGATTTTATGTATGTTTAATAACTACTGAGCTGACTTGATAAAAATGCTAAAATAACTGAAGTCGAACCGGTCATTTGTTCATAGAATGGATTTCAAGGCAGTAAAATATTGTTTAAGTGAGTATTTTGGTCAGCTTCAGAAATGAATGAGTAATATCATGGACGATTCCTAAGCGAAAACATTAATATATGAAATAGTTTGTATGAAAAGCTAAAATGTGTTATGATTGAGTAAAGGATTGAGAAGATTCAATGAATAACGCGCTTACGGAACCTTTCCCAAAATTTTAATTAAACGTAAATACTAAGAGATAAAACAACTGATTAAATGATTGAGTATTATTAGTATGAAGAACTTGTGGAGACTCAAATTCTATAGTTTACATCACTGGCTGACCCAAGTTAGATAACCATTGAAAAACCAGAAAGCACCAGACAGCTGTTTCGTCATGGTATGGAGCTTCTCAGCAACATGCACTTAAGACTTCCACTGGGGTTCGAACTGAAGACCTTCAAACTTTACGTTAGAAATGCCAATTTTTGAATGTTGACTCAGAGACCTAAAGCTTAAGCAGCTACCCTGAAACCCGAAAGTCTAGAGTTTAACCTCCACCCTGTGAAGCTTAGAACGCTCATTGATGAGAATTCCAATACTATGATGAAATAGTTACTAAATAATTTTTAGTTTCCAATGATTGAACGGTAAGTAGGAAGTGAAAACCATCATCTATACACAACGATAATACGACTTATCAAAAACTAAATCATCCATCAAATATCAAAATGAATTTAACAAAATGACGCCTCCAAATGCCCTGGTACGGCCGAGTAGGGAGAGCCCGCCCTCCCTCTCGAAATGCTCTCACACGGCCACGCGTATACGGCCTCTGCGAGGGAAATCCTACTCAGTGACTTCTCGTGGCATTACTGTTGTTTACGAAATTGAGAGGACGAAAAGCGAATGTCCGGCGCTTTAACCGGGCCGGTGGACACAGTGAATCCACCTAGGGGAGTTGGAAAACCCTCATTCCAAACCATTGGTGCACATGGGCTCCAGTATCCTGCGGGAACAAATGGTGTATGAACCTAATGTTGGTCACCGGCTACCATGGGACTGCATCTCCTCACGATGCTTCACTAGCTTGTGGGTCAAACCTTTAGGTCAAAGGCTCGGGGTGTGGCCCTCTAAGAAAACCACCTGCTTCGGTCTGGGCACCCGGGCAGTATCACAGCCCACACACACACAAATATGGTGTGGCGCATATATATTTGGTGCACTCTTGTACCAATATTCATGTGTTGAAATATAAATAAATAAATAAATAAATATGTAAATATGAACCGAAAAAAAGATCAACAAAACAAAGTTGAGCTGATCACTCTCAAATGTATCATTTAAAGTTCATGAAAATCTCATACAAATATAGCATTATATTATTTTTAATAATCAGTTGCCATTAATATTATTATTAGTATAAAGTTGTGTAGATTGTTGAATTGTGATTGAGATCATGAATCAATCAATGTTAGACGATCATTGAAAACCTGGGAGCATTGAATGACCGTTTCGTCCTAGTATTAGACTCAACAGTAGTGCGCATCCATGATCACGCATGCTCAACTAGAACCTAGAACCTTCGGTCTCGTGCGCGAACAATCAACCTCTAGACCGTTGGACTGGCATCCAACGCGGTTAATAACTAACTTCAGCCAATTCAGGAAATTGAGCGGCCATCTTCCATTGTTTTCGGTGGGTAACTGCTTCACACTCGGCTCAGTGGTTTAGGGGTTAATCGTTCGCGCGCGAGACCGAAGGTCCTGAGTTCGAATCCCACATGCAGGATTGTGGGTGTGCACTCTTGAGGAGTCCTATACTAGGACGAAATGGCCGTCCGGTACATCCAGGTGTACAATGGTGGTCTAACATTGGTCGATTCATGATCTCTATCAATATTATTATTATTAATATTAGTGAGTTATTTTGTAAAGGTTCGATAGAAGACAATCGAAGATTTTTTTCATACGAACGGAATCTATGAGAAATAAATAGACCGGACTATTGATACACGAGGCATCAATAAAAAATCCTCCATGCAAAATATAACACTGTAATAAACCAATTTTCTAAACGTAATTATATATAACGTATGAAAATATGTAGTGTAAAGCAGTCATTCAGTGAACACACTATTCAGACAGAAAAGTCAACACATAGAATCACCTTATATGAACAAGCGTAAGCCTAAGCTGCCAGACTTTACAAATTTCAAACTAAGCGATACCAAGATTTAAAAAATAATAATATTTTTATCAAGACAAAGATTGAACGTATGTTCCCCTTTGTGAATTATTCTAAGTTACGAAACTTAGGGTAAAAAGCCACTCAGTCTTGTTATTACAAAGATCTTATTCAAGAAATCTGCACAACTTTGCTAAACTCATATCATAAAACAGTGACTTTATGAATCATGATCACATTTTATACTCTATTTACAATCTAATTCTACTGCCTACAGTCAGCTTAGTATTTTGAGACATATGGCATTGCATCAAAAATAACACAGCCATCAGTTTACTAGTAAATCTCGATAAGATTCGCAGTTTGATGTAAACTAACAAATCTAGGTAACACAATCTGTTAGCGGGACATAGACTGGATTAAAGCATGTTCAATGCACGATTACTTTGGTGCACGCTGATTGGCTAATTCTTATCCAATCAGCACTGGTCGATATTTGGGGAATACTCTAGAATCTTCTCATGTGAAAACTATAAATATACTAACGTTTTCCCTATTGCACTAATTACTTGCTTCTTACTTCCATCTAACCTTGTTATATGGAATATAATCTCTTTCCTGTTCAACCGTGTTCTGATTTGGGGACTTGTCGAGTGAATCGGTGTCCGAGAATACTAAGTAATAGGAATAGCTGGTTCATAACAATGTAAAAGAGAATATAACACAATCATACGAAGTTTGTGTTTTTTTCTCTTATAAGAAAACGAAATAGTTGGACTTAAGAGTGTGTAATCTGATTGGAACTGTTGATAATGATATGAATGAATCATGAGGATTACAGAACAGTTCAATTCTGATTCTTGTTCTTACATATAAAAAATATCAGCTTTCCAACTTAACCTCTTTCAGATATTACCGTTATGGTTAACTAATCACGAAGAATAAAAACAAAACATACGTTATTTCCTCTATAACTTCTGTCTTTAACACAATGAAGCATATTTTAGACTTTAATTCAACTTATTTACTAAGTACAAATTTTCAAAAAATTGACTTTAAGCTATACTTGGTGTGAGGTGGTAGTACGCATCGTTATTTATTTATCCGGACTTAACTGGTACCTCAATAGTTAAAGAGTTCAACGTTCACTAGCAAAGTCGCAAGTTCAAACCCTACCCAAATACCTCAGTTTCGGAAACCACGTATTACTAACCTTCACGAGAACGCGAATCTGTACGTGATAAATGAGTTAATAGTTAGTGGATATTATTTGATTACCTAAATTAAGGTGTAAATGGAACTCGTAACTCAATAGTTGAAACTGTTGTCCTTTAACCTACAAACTGTCGGTCAAAGTATACATAGCTAAACTGCTATCGGAAAAAAATTACTACTAATAAAGCTAAAATACATATAAACACTACTATATACTTTATTTACTATGAAGATGATTATTGGCGAAGATAACTACTCTGTAACCTATTAATAGACCCTACAACAGCAGTAAATGTAATCCTAAGAAGTTCGGCACTAAGTATTTAGTCTAGACGAAAAAAAAATCATCCATTGACTACAAACTGAATTTAACGAAGCGAAATCCATAAACATCTTTGCTATGCCAACAGAACAATATCTAACTTTACCTTGATGCCATATACTTCATTGAAATCTTGAATAGCTCTAGCCATAACCAATGAAATTGGGAGTGTTGCATTGACTGTTTCTTTTCCAGTAGATGTTTTAATAAAATCTGCTCCAGCTAACATACAAACCATTGAAGCCTTATAAACATTATCATAACTGCTTAATTCACCAGTAGCAAGAATAGTCTTTAAGTGTGCTTGATCACCACAAGCTTTACGCATCGCACATACTTCATTATAAACTCCTAGAATATGAGAAAGATTTTACGAACTTTTAATAATCAGTGAAATAAGAAAATCATAAGAACAAATAAGGAATAAAGTTTTGTTTTTTAACTTCGGTTACTCCACTGCATTATGTATTGGTCTGTCAATTAAAACTTCACTCAACTTGTCAAGCTCCATAAATCTAATAAAGCTTTGTTTAGGCCAAACAATGTGTCAAATGTGTATGACCAGTTAACACACGTCTAGCATGATAATGTGGTAATGACGATAAGACGGATTGTTGAAGGAAAGACTAAATTCCAAGCTGATATCATAATTAAACATTCACAAACGAAGATGGATGATAGACATTCCTACTCAGCTAAGTTTCCAATGAAATTACACATAAACAAGTTGTTCGAGGAATTGACTAGTGTAAAAGACACTTTAAATAACCATAGTTTTAAAAATATCATCGTGATCATTATTATGAAATCCTTTACTGTTTGTGCAACAATATATCAGAGACATAACAGTTCATTCAAAAACAAAAGATGTGAGAATATTTGGAAGATACTCCGTGATAACCTTTCAAGTTATACACCTAGCAGATTGGACCAAAGTGAATTTTATTTACCACTAATTCTTGGTACATATCAGTAGTATTCATTTAACTACAACCATGAAATATGAATTAGGAGATATTTAAGGTGTAAACCTACTATTACCTTTTAAACTCAAATATAGCAGAAATTATTACCTATGTCTAAATTGGTCAAAACTAGGAAAATGAGAGAGAGTGAAATAAAAATTAGTACAAACCGAGTTCTATAGTTATATGGACTAAAAATAGAGTTAAGCACAGATCATCTCCAGCTGGAGAATCAGAGATTACTCGACAGATATCTCATCCTCGTTTAACAGAATACATGTGAAGTTGATTAAATAACGTTCGGTTTGACATAGACGAACCGTTTCACGTCTTTTAACTTAGTTGAAAGATTTATCTTTCATACAAAAGACAGAAGTGAGGCAGCGCTTGCGACAGAAAATAACAGTGAAATCTTCACTTCAAGTCACAGAATTTCGAAGAATACTGTCTTTTGATATAGATCAAAAAGTAGTCTATCGTAAGTGTACCTTTCTTTGCGACTTTGAGTTGACGGTTTAATTGACAATATAGTAAAGTGAAGTCAAGTTACATTACCATAGTAATCAGTGACCAATAAAATTCTCCATCATAAATTTCTTCGAAATTCGTGAACTGATATACACAACGTTCGTCAACTTTTTTAAACTCCTGTATTAAAACATCAAAAATCGGTCGTAGAATTAAATACTCATCCCCACCTTTTACTTCCGCAAAAAAATCACCAAATTCTATGTTATATATAGTAGACTTATATGTGAGTGCAGTAAAGAAAGCATAATGAATTATATGGACATTGAATTTAATAAAAGAATTGGACAGTAAAGAGACTTCGTACATTGTTAATTACCTTCCCAATCACCTTGTAAAGCTAATGTTCTATTTATTACCACATCAATTTCATTCGCTCCATCATTTATAGCTGATTTAATTTCCAATAGCCGAGTTTCTAAAGGATACTGTCCAGTAGGAAAACCAGTAGCAACTGTAGTTATCATAGTTAAAGATTAGATTTAAAAAGATAATTAACCAGAAGCAATATTAAAATTTGGTAATTTTAATTTCTTAAAAGTTTCTGCGCATGTTTTAACTTGATATGGATAAACACATACAGCAGCTGTTCCTATTTGACAGATAATTAGATATGTTAAACTATATAAAACAGATTGTTACTTAAATCTTGTAGGTTCATATTGAACGCATTTTCAATTTTATTCAAAACGCATTCACTTAGCGGATGAACTGCTTTTACACAAAGTCTTTGTACATTGACAGGTGTATCATCCCCAGCTAATGTGGTTAAATCGATTAAGCAAATTGCTTTTAACAGCCATTCCACCTGAAGACAAAAAAAGCAAACGAAGTAACATTGATGAAGATATCTAACACTATATTTATTACTTACTTCAATATCTGTTGGTAGTTTTGTATTTGTAAGCTCCTTAGCTAACTGTATTACATTGGAAGCTTCGATATGATCATAGGTAAGCATAGAAGCATCTTGAATGTTATTTTATAAAAAAATCTTTTGAATTGATTACCGTATGTCTGAATACATCCAACCTTCATTGTTAACCCTACATAAAATAGACAACCCAATAATGAATAACCTTGAAAGACGAAAATGTGCATATTACGGTAATACTAACCATAATAAGGTCCGTAGTACTATATGAAAACTTTAGAGCCCTGAAAACAATTAAGAATAATAACGGATGGTAGTTGACATACAACAATGATCAACTTCATTATTGACACTAACAAACTTTGCAGTTGAAATCCTCATCTCCGACTTTCTGTATTAACTTAAAAGACAATAAGGATTGGTTCTAATTGTTTAAAATTCTTTATACAACATAATTGTATGATCTCAATATTTTTAATGTTGACTTTTAGTAGATTTAATTAACATTACAGATAATTATGTTTCAAATGAGACATAGAGAGTACATGCCTTTCGACCTAAGGAAATCATCAGTATTTTTATGGAAGATGCGATATTTCGCTACAAGAGACCTCGATAACTAATTAATAATGCAGATGCATGACAACGTTTTCATTACTGGTTAAATGCACTAGGCACATAGATGAACATCGACCCAGTGAAACGATCCTATTTGCGGTTTCTTTTCAAAAAGGACTTTCAAGTAATATTCACTACTGTCTTGCCATTCATTATGCATCTTTCTTTAGAATTCAATTCTCCCTGTTTTGTCACTTGTATGTAACTATTGGTTTTTATGTATCAATATATTTTGACTAGGTCCTTGTGTTTGGGCAACTACAAATCTTATGAGCCCTATTGCTTTCTAAAATTGAAATTTTGAATTCACGAATATACAATTTTACATTAATTTCACTCGCAGTAATAGTTTTTTGCATACTTCCTTATGGATATGTCGGAGCCTGATTACATTAATCACACCTATGGGTATGTCTGGTCTAACATATCACTAGAGCTGAATGCACTAAATTCTATGAATGGGCGTATGTTTAGTGGATTTAATCATGAAACATGATTCACACACGCTGAGGTACAGCTTCAGTGCTAGAATATCCATCTATAGGCTTTAAGGCACTCTGTTGTGTTGGAAATATTATCTACCAAGGTAGCTACGAAAATTTCAGATCCCACAAATAATGTTCCATTATCTTAAGTATATGATGAGCTAAAGAAGACGATCATTCAACACACCATCAAGTTAGACGGAAACTCACAGAAGTTACTAATTGAGTACAGGCTAGGGGACGGGTAACCGTCCCAGTTATTAAATCGAGTGAAGTAATTGATTGATCCCTACAGCGTTGATGGGTTTTCAAAACAGATATGGATGCAGAGACTACCAACCTGAGCTCAACAGACTGTTTATCTAACAAACTGTTAGACTTACATAATTTTGGAATAAACAAGTAACATATCACATTTAAACGATATTGGACATGCTGAATAATGCACCAGGACCGAAAATTGTATCGCAGACTGAACAGCTACTACGTTTTCGTATTCAACACATAACAAATGTTCCTAGTCTAGTGTCGAATTTAGATCTTTTGCGACTGTTTATTTCTAACATCGGCAAGAATAGGCCGTTCTGGGTCCCGAAACCAGAATGGTAAGAGCCAGTGTCCTAAAACCCTGATAGTTAAGGAATAAGAATGGTGTTACTATAAAAGGCGTAGTAAAAAGGTCACAAAGTGTTACTACATGCAAATTTTCAAATCTTTCCGCATGTCAGGAAACGGTGTGGACAGGTAGTAATGGCGACGGTTGTTGCTTGTCAACTATCTAGTCCCCTTTTCTTTGTGCTGGATAAGATCTCAGGTCCGCACCTCTTGGTGTGCAAGGGCGCAATAATCAACCTAATTCTAGTTACGCTAACCAAACGACCAGTAATAAATAGTCGCAAGTATTCATTGAATGCAGTAAAAAAGGACGATAAAAACTTTCAGAGAACAGTTATATGCCTCTGGATTAGAAGTCCTTTCAGTCAAATGTTCATTATAGTTGATGTTCTCTACTTTATTTTGGGAACCAATTTTCTGACCACTTGCTAGCTGATGTTAACAAAGGAAAGCCCATTAACGTCTTCACCCAGTTATTGACTGAAGTAATTTTTTTCGGACTACTGTGCATAAATGGCATCGACAAACACTTCCCTATAAGTGACAATTTTGATGACCTTGTCCGCCAATACGCAGTGAATACAAAGCCAACGTACCACTAGGACAGTGTAATGCACCCTGTATTATATCACATTACTACAAAACTTCAGGTAGTGAAAGCTCGGAGTTGCAAATTCGGAGCTCGAACATACAATTTGGTTAGCCATTATCCAGGCTGAATCTAATGCCCTAAGAAAAACGCTGATGATCATATTTAGTTGTTAGCCTTTCAACAAAACAGTGAGCCTACTGATATGTGACGCGTCGGTACATAAAATTGATGGGGTCATGTAAGAGAGCATTATTGTTGAATTTAATGCTATTGCGGAAGAGAAAGTGAGTTTGGCTCTTGAGGATAACATAAAGTTTTTAACATGTCCCTTCAAAGTGTTCAACAAAGGTTGCAATAAAGTCACCATTACCAAGGAATAACGAAGTACATTTACTGAATCTGGCTCACTGAAATTCCTAGTGGCCTTAAATTAGTCATCCAGTGACTAAATACTGTATGTCCTAATATTGTGGGCCAAGAATTTTAAAATTTCCCCGCCTAAGACATAGTTGGGAAGCTGGATGATTATGCCAAATTGTTGAAAACGGATAATAAGTGATGTGCATGATTGACATGTTCACGTGGTAAACTGCCGGTAATTAAAACATGAACATTGACAACAGAATAAAAACCTCTAATTGTTTAGTTAATGAGTGTTTCTGGATCTAAGTGAAACTCTTATACGTTCAAACAAACCAAAAGGAGTAGCGACCTGCTTTTCGCCTGATGCAGCAGTACGTTTAATGGCCGATTACTAACAATATGTCTCAAATAATGAAACGTTCATACAAAACATATTTAATACAAATATAGTTATAACCATATTTGACATTGTGAAAATATATGTTCACAATGTCACAAAGATCAAGGAACACAATCTCCGGATTTCGAGGAAATTCTAGAGGATTTTTAGATTTTCCTCAAAGCCATATGAAAATTCTTAGTTTTTCCTGGAGTCTAGGGAAATTTCAGGGAAAAACCCCTCATATTTTAATATATACCCAAGCAACACAAAAAGGGGAAATAAAGGGGAAATGTCGCTTTTTCGCCTTTACGTCGTGTATTTGGGGCTATTTTATTGTCATTATGAAAATTGATACATTTTCTGACAACCATACTGAAATAAAACAGTATATGCATATTAATTAATATGCATTTTGATGAGTTTATACGCACTTTAAGCTATAATTATTCGCCTTCACATGCTTTTCATGTAGAGATTCGACATAATTATGTCTTTAAAGACCAATAAAACACCAGCTATAGTTAATCAACCAATTTTGGGGAAAATTTGAAGTTTCGGAGAAATTTTGGGGAAGCCGCCATAGTAAACTTTGAGGAGATTTTGGAGAAATGGCACAAAAACCCCAATATTTCCCCGAAATTCCCCTTCAACCTCGGTCAAGGTCATTTTGATGATTTCCCCCAAACTTTCCAAATTGGGAGCTCGGGTAGGTTACAAAAATACTTCTTAATCAGCTTATCTCAATATAATGGGTAACACTTATCCAAAGACAAAAGATGAATTAATCCTTACCTTACTTTATGTAGTGAAATCAAATGAGTTCTGTCTATATTAAAATTTTTACTTGCCAAAAACCAACTGTAACGTATCAGTCAAATGGTCCAAATGGTTGTATCGGAGCGTATCCCTAATCCAATATCCTTTTACGAGCTTGGATAAATCAAATGTTTTCTTTACGCTCACTTCTTGTTGTATCGGCACTGTTTCAAGTTGGTAGTCTATACGCTTGACTGAATTTATTCTAGTCGGTTTGGTGATTATTTGTAGGTTTGTGTATTTTCATATGGTTCAAATAGTTTTGGACGGAATAGAAAAAGCTTTCGCCCAATGGACTTCCATATCTAGTAGCGGTGGATCACCAATACCTCCAGGAAGGAACCTAGGTCTATTAACGATAAAAGATGAAGAAAAAATGGTGAATAATAGTAAGATACTTCCATTAGTCCTGAAGAATATGTCACGTTTTCTCTTAAGGACTCCTAGGAAGTCACTTGGATCAGCTCAGCTGGCAGTGAATTCCATCATTTGACTACTCTTAAGGAGTAAAAGGTGTGTCTACAGTTCGTTCTGCTGTATTGTCTCCAGTTTCTAGCTGTTAGCCCTAATGTTTGTGTTAGGACTAAGCTTAGGTAGGCGTCTAAGGGGATGTCCAGAAGCATTTAGGATGCTGTACGCCGTTAGGTCACATCTAAGACGCCTGTACTCTAATGGGTGAAGGTTCAGTGGTTAGAGGTACTCTTCATAAGGCTTGAATTCGAGTCCCGGAACTGATTCCGTGGCTCGTCGTTGAATACGTTGTAGAGTGTCCTTATCCTTTTGGAGTGAGGGAGAATATACTATGTTTCCGTACTCTAAATGGTGGTGAATAAAACTGTTAAGGATAATGTGGAAAGCTCTTCCGTCGAAATGGCTTAAAATGCGCTTCAATGTTAGCAGTGCAAGGTTTGCTTGGAAGGCACTTTTGTCGCAGTCAGCGTGAGAATTAAAATCGTAGGGTACCAACACTCTTAAATATTTTTCAACTCGGGATACCTCCACAGGAGAGTTACCCAAGTTGTTGTCTGCAACATATCTCAGATGGTCTATCTTACACTTCGAAGTGTTAAAGATAAGTCCATTGTCATCCGCCTAACTTTGAAGTCGAATCAGATCCTCATGAAGTTCCAGTCTAGACTCTTGCTTGCATACTTCTCTCCAAAGTTTCACATCATCAGTAAAAAGCAATAAGTCTGACGATACCTGTTGTGAAAGATCGTTTGTATAAATCAAGAAAAGAAGAGGTCCTAATACTGAACCCTGAGGAATCCCACTAGGATATTCAACAATCTGAGAGAAAGTGAATTCAACCCTGACCTTAAAAGGTTAACTTTTCAGGTTTGAAGTGTGTAAATCAATTAAAGGTGATTTAATACCTAATCGTTTGAACTTACTGGTAAGACATACATGGTTGACCGCGAATCTGAGGACATCACTCTGAGCGGTCTTGCCAAGATTGAAGCTGCTTTCCTTAGTATAGCAGAATGAACCATATCCGGACCAGGAGAAGTGCCTTTTGGGGTGCCGCAGTTCCCGATACACCATGTCAGCGCTCAGATTCGCTTCTGAAAGTCCTATGGAGTTGTAGATGAAGCTTTCATCAATACAGTTAGTCTGGGTTGGTTGAAATTTCTGAGGTTACTGTTCAGCCAGGCCAGTGGCGTCACATCGTTGTTAATCGGGCCATCAGTATATAACAGTTGGAAAACTCCAGTTTTGACTTGTCGAAGAGAAGCTGAGTTACGGCATAAGCTTTTTGGATCCGAGACAAATTTAACGATAAGCTTTATCTGGCACTGTAGCCTGTCATCTCTTATTGCCTTTGGGCATATGTTCCTTACTTGTTTGTATCGCATGTATGCGATGTTGTTATCAGTTTGTTTATATTCCGCCCAGCAGTACCCTTTGAGGATTAGCAAACGAAGAGTGCGATTCTTGATGACTGTAGGTTGCTTGTAGAATTTGGAGACCATTTAAGGAACAGACTGCTTTGTAGCACATAAGATCGTGTGCAGTGAGAAATCCCGATGAGCATTCACATCAAGTTGAGAGTGAACTTCATAGCTCATCTGCTGTAGATTGTCCTGTAAAGCTGACGGATCCAAGCGTTTGAAATTCCAGCACCTGCTTTTGGTAAGATGAATTACCTCAGTTCTGATGGCCGTGACGGCACGATCGCTTTTCCCTGGGGGAGCCACGATTGTGAGTAAGGAATTCTTTATAAATACCCATCCTAAGCGGGAAGGCGTCTGACTTTCTCCAACGAGTCGCCGACTTCATATTTCGAATAATCTTTGATCCTTAATGAGTTTGAAGAACCGGGCTTCAGTAGAGTTTTCACCTCCATTATACGTATGTTCCGCAAAACTGACTTTAGGAAGACTGAGGTCCTCTAGAATCAGCATAAGGGTGAATCCGAGACGGGCAGAGCGGGATAATCCTTCCAGCATGCGATTTTTGTACTCGATGTCAGCAGTAAGCTTTCTGTAGATTACTCCAGTTACACACCTAGAGGTGGTAGACAATCTTAATGAGCATCACACGGTTTCATAAAGATTGATAAACTCTTGTAGTTCATTGAGTGCGTTCGTCTCGGGACAATGAGGTTTCTGGATACGATGAGCTATCACATAACCATGCAGGAGGTAGGTCGTTTGCAGTTTGAAAACAATGAAGTGGTGGTCTAAGTACTAAGAGAGTAACAAATAATTTAATCAGTTGGTGGTTTGTACGAACGTGGAATAGGAAGGATAAGAGGGGAAAAAGAGATGATGATAAGAGAGATAGCAATTAGTTACTGATATGCGGCGATAGAAATCATGGTAGTTTGTGACGCATGCACTAGATACACCCGCTCTAAAAGGAGGAGGGTGATTCATGGGTATGTGTGTGTCAGGTCTCCTCCTAAAGCTGTTCACTGGTGGGCCTGTGGTCACTACGACAAGTAAAGAATCTCGAATAAGAGCAGCTTCTCACGAGGAAGCATGAGAGCATGCCTGAGAATTTGCTATTTCATGTTCAGTACTTCGAGAGTTGCCTAGAAGAGCGTAATGATTATGTTCTGCTAATATGCTTGCGTTCGGATGGTTTGACATACTTATAATGTTGTGTGCCACTATGAGATCACCTCCTTTTCTTTTGTTGCCCAGAGTGAATAATCCTAGGTTTAAAGCCTGTCGTCATAAGATTTCTGCTTTAGCCCTATCACATATTTGGCTGCCCATCTCTTTGATTGGTTCAAGAGATAAATGTCTCTTGCAGAGAGGGAGAGCGTTTGACTTGGTTGCGTACCCCCATGTAGTTTGAGCCGGTGTCTAGTCTCTCTGCGGTTATAGGCTCTCTGAAGAGACAATTGAAAGGATTTTTCCATGGAATGTGTAATTATTTTTCAATCTGCTATAAGCAATGCGTAACAACATTGAAAATATTTTTTTCTGCCACACAGGTATTGTAACAGAAAGCATAAGCTGAAAATCTCTCCAAAATGCTTTACTGAGTAGTTATGCTATGTGTTTGCTCTTTTTCCTTGTCCTGTATTTGAACTTTTACGCAGATCTCCTTTAACCACGTTTTATGTTCTTCAATCTTCATGGTCTTGGCTTCTATTGTTTGACTTTAGTTAAACATTTACCTTTGTTGCTTGGTTTGAGTGTCGAACGTTGCTGAGCCATTAAAAACAAGGTCGTTTCTGACTAAATTCAAAGTCACTGTGTGGCTCAGCTACTGGTTGTTGACCTAGATACGGTTAGTTGAATCCTTACAGATATTAATTTGCAACTGACTTCTTAGGAATACTCTTACTGATTCGCAGGCACCGAACAATTATTTACCAACTATCCCTTCTGCTGTTTAGCACATGATCTTGTGTTAGAGAAACATTTGACTGTATCGCAGAGACTGCATCGTTTGAGGTACTTGTTTCGGTATAATTTAAAACGAGTGACATAAACGCTACGTAAGCTATACAGAAAGACTCAGTTCGGCCCGATCAAATTAACTTTGATTTGTTAGCTCTGAGTTCAGGCCAAGTACTGGAATTTCACTCTTTACAATAATTACGACTAAGAATTGATATTGCGTGCTTAAATGTTATGAGCAACTGATACGCAACTTATAAAACGATAAGACAGGAAATATTCAGTCAAGTGTTTTGAATCAAACCTCTTCCATTTTACCTAACGCAATATACAGACACACCAACCGTTGAATCATTAGCCTTAGTCATGACTATTTTGATAATACTTTACAACTAATGACTTGTTCATTAGTCCAGAACTTTCATTATGATTAATTTAGTTTCATAAACTTCTTAAAACTTCGGCACCACTTCCCTATGAAAATACCTATATGCTATTTATTCTGGAAATCCAGTTTATGGAATAATGCGATCAGTTGCTTGCTTTAGAAACAGAAAGTTCTCAGAAAAGAAAGAATAAACCCTGGTGAAATTTATTTAAGTGATACGAAGTTCTGGTGCCAGTCTAGAAGTCCGACGCATTGTAATAATGAGTGTGTATATAAGCTTACTAGCATTTCAGATAACGAATTGCAAATAAACAAAACTTCTATGGCGTTATTTATCATACAAAATCAACATATTAATCTTGACTCCACTGAAGAATTATAATATTATATTATTATATTATATTATATTATATATTATATTATATTATATTATATTATATATATTATATTATTATATATATTATATCATATTATATTTTGAGCTTGGTAGCCTCTAGTGTTCAGGAATGAGAATTGAAGAACTTCAAGTTACTGAAACCAAACTCCAGCGACGTCGTCGGTTACATCGTTTTAAGCATTTATTAATTCCCAGCATTTTTATAACGATTAAACAACAAGCCTGTAAGATCCATTTTGAATGTTTTGTGTGTTTGTGAAAATCCCTCCATGTATATAACTGCGCTTTGTTCCTATTGATCCCCTTAGTTGTACATTGTTGTCTTTTGATTACATTTGAACTGTTAATATTTGTATTTTTATTATAGTTTTTGTTTTTCTTACGCATTCACTAAGCTTGTGTTTCTTCCCGAACTGCATCTGTGTTGTTTTACTTGACGCTAGTTCTTGGCGGTAGCCATATTGATTTGCTCCTCCTTTTGTGTGTGTGTTCTATCCAGTCAGGATAGAATAACGTTCATTTGTTGTGACTGGTAATTTTCCCTCATCCTTTAGTCAACTTCTTTATTTATTGTAATTTAGATTTTATTGATTGAACAATTATTGGTTGAATAGCCGGGTGGTAATATTTGTTTAGGTAGCGATTTACATTTAAATTTATGATGAATTATAGAACCGCTATTTACCCGATTACTTGTTTTGATTTTGACGGGCAAGGGCGCATGTCTAACGTACCTGGACGGCTATTCATCTATCCAAACCGTAGTGTGGATTCTACAAAGACATAATTATGATTGGAATTTATCACTTTGTAACTTATCAATATCACGAATCACCCCATCGATTGGAATTATCTTTTATCGATATCCGCGTTGCCTATCACTTGCACTCGAAAACAATGATCCAAAACAATTCCCACAAAGCAAATTAAGAACACAAAAGACGGATACAATCGAAGTTCTGTTCGCTCCAAAACACGACGACCCTAGTTGAAAAAACCCTCTATCTATACATTGATTTGTTCACTCATTGGGTTAGCAATTGGAAAAAAGTTACACATATTGGACTGCAACAAAATTTCATGTTATTTGTCATCCTGAACAAAGATCGTGTCAATCTAACACAACGATTATCATACTCGAATAAACATCACACCAAAAGTGACCTAATAAATTATCTGTCCTATTTGTAGCCTTCAACTGTGAAAATAGACTTTTACGTTGCATAGTAAACAAATAGGCACAAAACACACTATACTTTTGCCGGATAAGAATTTTGTAATGCTATCGAGTGCATTTGATGAGGTTCCTGAACCAACTCTCAGGGTTGGCTCGCTTACGACCAAGTGCTGAGGATAGAATAACATGGATTCAGCTCCCACCAATTCCCAACACCCGAAAACAGAACAAATCAATAACTGATATTGCAAATACACTAATTTAGACCTTAAGTTCCAGTAGACCTTCCAGAAAGATTAGTTTAGTGGTACAATGTAATAGAGAAGCCCGAGAATAGTGCTAAAAATGTTTCGTACCTGTTGTCGATACACCCTCAAAAATTTCACTATACACAATACATGAAACACTAAACAGGGTCCTTAGCACGACCAAATCAAACCGAAGTAGACATTTGCCCGCTGATGTGTCAGATCCTAACATGGACTAACTAAATACTACAACCCCATTAAAAATATCTGCTAAGTAGTTCCTGTCTGGTTACTTCCGTTAAAATGTGTCAGTACTTTCCAACCGTTTCTTTGTCCATTCCCTCACTTATCCAAGCATCAAGGGGTTCCGGTCTCTCAAAAATCAAGAAGTTTCGAGCCTCTTGAATCCAACATAATTCTCTCAATTTTGATGAAATTTTACCAACCTGTGGTGTTTGTATGAACTAACGATTCTTTTGTACTTGACTGCTTGATTTGAATTCCAAATACAATACGTTCACTTGTGCTCATTTAGTTCTACCTGCCATTAAGTGCGTTATTTCGGGGATTCCTAATTGTTTGTATAATAATTTGGATACTTTCAATTATCATACCACAGTTCTAAAGAAATATACAAATGTAACTTTCTTTCCTCATTACCATCTTTGAATGTTCCTTCTACAAGGGTGGATTCCTCTCTGACTGAAAGTTGTGGCCATACTCGACTACAAACGAGTAACGAGGTAAAGGCTTCCAATTAAGCGCCAATTTTAATGCTCACTTAGATAGCTGTGGTGGCGGAAAAGGTTTTAATTAAAACCCTTTGAAAATATATTGCCCTGGTGGTCTGTATTCCCCCCCTACAGTGATTACGTGAATTCATCTTTCACATTTATATTTTACCTGTATTCATAATTATGTCCATCTTCATAAGCAGTGTCATTAGTTGTCTACCTACTCATTATATTTTATACACTGCATATTCTCGAACATACGATGAATCACTCTAGGTTACTTTGACAAATGTATCACCTTTATTCTTTATCTACTTATCTTCGCCCACACAACTCGCTGCTTGAAAATGAATGCATCTAATAAACTACTCCTGTTGCAACTCGTCTTTTGACATTTTACTTCAGTATTGTAGTGACGTGATATCTCAGTGGTTAATTACAAAATTAAATCTGAGAAACATGAGTATTGTACTGGATAAATTCCCAGTAACTGTTCTGCCTAAATCTTAACATGACTTTCCGCGAGGCAGACCTCATATTATGAACTCATCAAATGTTTGAGATAGGTTGGTTTTCGAATTATGGTGTAGTAATATGGTGCATATCTTCCCCTCAAGCTTCTGCGAAGCATTTGACAGTGATGAACACCACGTCTTATGCTGTAAACTAAAATCGACAGGTACTATTGGGTATCTTATGAAAAGTTATACAACTGCACCAACAAGGACTTATCCTCACCCAATAATACTGAATTTAAAACTGCCATGATGATCGTTGATAGTACATCCCCCATGTACTTCCTTGTTGATCCAATTATCTTGCACTTCATCAAAGAAAAAACCTGAAAATTGCTTTTTGTCATATCATTTATGTTTCCTCTTACTGGTACTCCACACCCAACTAAGGATACTAACTTTTATAGCTTCTTTCTTATATACTCCCAGAAATTTCGAAGACCTTTTCAGTGTTTGCTTAAGGCTCCATCGAGGAAAAATGCACACATTATTTCCGACCACTTTAAAATGGACATCTGCTTCATGTAATGAGTTTAATATAAGAATCCAAAACAGTGTTCTCACATAAAAATACAACTAATTCAGCTCACTTGAGCGCCTTAGTTTATAACCTGTGTAGTGTGAGAGGATTAGAGAAGAAAGTACTATGCACTCCATAATCCTATTCACCTTAATTCATCAATCACATGTTTCGAATAGAAATACATTCAAGAGGACGTCTGTGCGTGATAGAACACAGAGCTGGTATAAACACTTACGCAAACATTTTCGCAGCAAGAATCAGTAAACTCTGGAGCCCCTTACCGAAAGTGTTAGTAACGGTACCTTACGTAGAATCTTACGATGTATGTTCTGTGCTGAAGGATATAAAGCCAGGACTTACTCCTAAAGAGCTTTGATGACTATTTACCAACGTCCTCCCTCCTCAGATTCAGAAGATAGATAACAAGTGTCACTCCTTTCCGTATCCATGACCACTCCCTTACTACTAAGGTGTAGATCCTAAAGAACAAAGACTTGACTACCTGTGCATAGAGCAGTTTGAAAGTGTTGGACATAAGACCGCGAGTTACTATTGTTGCGTCACTGTACTAGGTTTGGTCTCCTATTGGTTTGTTAATATTCTTCCGTTACCTGAGTATTTTAATTATACTTCTCAGCTTTTAGTAACAGTGAGACTCATTAAGTTTACGTGCAAATTTTCTCAATCTCTAATAGTTCAGCTTATTTGTATAAATTGGTTTCCCTGTGTAGACGAAATTGAGACAATTGTATGACGAACCCTGGCCGACCATTGGCGATAACTACATTGTCCGGTCTTGTGGTAGATAGCTTTGAGTTTCTGTAGCTGATGATTTCCTTGGAAGAATAAGTTACCTCAGGCCCAGTGACATTGTCAGCCATATCCTGATTCAGTATACTTTGAAAGTAAACTTCTTCGGCATATCGCTGTGCGGCTTGTTTAGCCTCAGCTAATCCGCAGTGTACTGAACTTCTAATTTTCCTCATGTATGATTCAAAGGGAAAGGCAGAGAACGACTCTAAACTTCCATGTCCTATAACGTTTATTATTTATTTATTTATTTGGACACATAAATATTGGTACAAGAGGGCACCAAATATATATGCGCCACACACATGTTTTTTTGTGCGGGATAAGATACTGCCCGGGTGCCCAGACCGACGCAGATTCTATAACGTCCTCTACAATGTGCTTTAAACCATGCACATTGTAGATTAATTGGTTGCTACCGTAACACTTTTCGTAACCTAATAAGAAGTTGTTAAGATATACCCGAACACTGTTTGCTAGTGTGGTGTACAACTTAGGGTGCGATAATAAATATATATGCTCAAAAAAACGGTTCGAAATTAGGACTAGCAGTTAGTATTTGTAATTATGTTTTTCACCACAATCTAACAACCATACATTTTACCTTCACTGGTTATAAAAAGCCACGCCAGGTGTATATCTACGTCTAAAACACTGAACTTCTTGGTTAATCTAGCATTGTATAAAAGGTTCACAGTTCTTGTGATCTGTTTTAATCACGTTCCTTTAAATGTTTTTTACTCACTGTTGGCTTCGCCCTGTATTCATTACAAGAGAAGGATATAAAACGTCATAATCAGTATAATATCTAGGCAAATGGAATTAATACTCATAAGTTTAATAGTCCTAGAAACTTTTGCAACCGCCGTACTACAATAAGCGATGATTTTCAACTCCTAGCTCCATAGGGGCAATTCAGTTGTACAGTGTTTTTTTACTAACTCATTGATCAGTATGCATCATAGTACAGACAATTATATGATAAACTCCTACCGTAATGCATACTCTGCCCATAGTGCTTAGCATTTGAAATTAAATATTGTTGAATACTTTCGAAATTCAAGGGAATGTTAATGTAGTAACCCATATACTATCTCTGGAGTTGTTATAAAGTGATAACACTGAAGTCCACAAACTTGTATGGTGCAATATACCCTGGTACGGCCAAAGGTGAGCAGAGTCCACTCTCCCTGAAAATGCTCTCATATGGCCGCGCGTATACAGCCACTGCTAGGGAAGTCCTACTCACTGCCTTCTCGCGGCAGGGTTGTTGTTTGCGAAGTTGGGAGTACAAGAAGTGAATGTCCGGTGCTTTAATCTGGTTGGCTCACATAGGGAGGTTGTAAACCCTGATTCCAAACCAATGATGCACATGGGTTCCTGGGTCCTGAGGGAACAAATGGCATATGAACCTATTGTTGGTCACCAACTACCATGTGACTGAATTTCCTTACGTTGCTCCACCGCTTTGTGGACTAGACCTCTAGGTTAAAAGCTTGAGGAGTGGCCTAAAAGAACCACGTTCTTCGGTTTGGGCGCTCAGGTAGTATTCTAGACCCCACACAAATCGAATGGTGTGGCGCATATCTATTTGGTGCGTCCTTGTACAATGTTTGTGTGCCTAATCACAAGATTAATCATCTGCACCTCCAAGTGTTAAATATAAGACCCTCCAGTTTTGCACACCACGCACAAAAGTTCGCTTAGCTCGTATCGTATTTCTCGCCTACGTGGATTATTCTAGATTTTGGAGAGAATTATTGATCTATTACTTTTGAGTCATTATCCACACATACATTTGGTCTTGCTAGTTATTCTTCTATAACCCTGATTGTCTTTATGTATGGGCGTATGTGTGCTTGTGTTTATCACTTACTCTTCGTCACATCGGCTTGTTTTTCTGTGTGGATATAAATCTTGAGCTATGTCTGACGAAATTGACTTGGCACGTCTGTTATCTCCGATCCGCTTCGTTTCTCTTATTGTCCGCCTTTGTTAATGGATGTATGGAATATATGTATCCAGAAATATAGTATCTGACTTATTTTTTTCCACTACTTACCAACGTGAATTAAGTCGATGAATATTTATTAGATTAAGTGGGATATATGTTTCGTTATCATCGTTATCAACCGTTCATATGGAGCCAGATCAAAGCCTCAATAAGTCCTTTTCATTGTATTTCTGTTTGTGACAAAATGACTGCTTACAAGAGATTGCTCAGGTTTCACTTTGTATAGTTATCAATAACACAGTGTCATATAAACCAAATAAAGTACAAAAACTGAGAATATCAAAATGTATCAGATTGTCTGATCTTTTAGGAGATAGTGTTTATGCGTTTTCTTTCATTTAATGGACAGAAAATATAATACAACTGATACGAAATGTGACTTTTCTCTAACAAACTCACCACAAGATAGTCGTTAGTTCCTAAGAAAATTGCTAGTCAATAAAACTGCGGTGTTACTTCATTTTATATTTCCATGAAATCGTTTTCGAAATCTCGTGTATGATTTTGCAATATTGATTTTTTTGCATACAAGAGAGAAACCAACTAGATCCACTAGTTCACACTATTAGGTAAGAATAATAATCAATTCTGTTTTGGTATGTCAACTAAGCTAATTGATTTAAAACCATAATGCACTTTATTTTGATGCTACATTATCAGAGAACCTCCAATTGCTTCCAAGAATCTCCAATGTCCAATGGAGAACGAATAAATTCATTTAAAGAATCATAACTAATTATTTGAATAGTACCATGTTAGCTTACATTTAAACAAATATACAAGCATACCATTTTTTACCCGTCTGGTTTTATACTAGATTTGATGTCAATAATGTATTTTAAGTCTGAAAGTACAGCAACATATAGTACCAGCTCAATGCTTTAAGCTGTACTTTGTAATTAATTTTGCCAAATTCCAAGTAGAAATTAAATCGTTACTTTTAAAAACCAGGGATCGATTGGTGTAATTGTTCCTTTAACTCAGAAGTGATCACTTCCTCAAACTAACATACATTTGATCAGGTACTCTTATATTTAAATGTTCCGAATTTATTCTCCTTTCGTTACTTTTTCAGATCATCCGTTTAATTGTCTGAAAACTAATATATCTTGAACAGTATTGGTCTTTCAAATATATATATATATAATCGGCATGGCTCAGGGAAAACTTAAAGTCAAAACCAAATTACCCAAAGGAGTAAAATCCGGTAAAAGTGAAAGGTCTTTACAGAAACAATCCGCCAAACCACTGCGCAAAGGGACTCGTGTTATAAAACCAAAAAAAGAAAGACTAAAAGAAGCTCATGAAATGAAGAAGCATATGGAAAAATTGTTAAAAAAATCAGTGGAAAAACAAGCTATTGAGAAAGTGTCGTCTTGTGAACCCCGTTCACTAAAAATTGTAAAAGAATAATAAATCATTAAGAATGTACATACTCAAGAATCTTTGCTGTTTTGATTTCTAAGATATACTGGTAATTTATTTATACGTGGGGATGAAGCACAATATTATATTGTTTCTCTCTACTTATGTCTCCAGGAATAATTTTGTTTGCCCCAAAATTTTCTGAGACCAGTTGTTTGCTCACATTTTGCATGGTGAACCTAAAGCGTACAGACGTCATAGTGCTACTAGGTAGAAGCTTCAAACAAATGTAGGGTCTCCCAAACTCCTCAGATGAAAACCTGAAAAGATTTGGCATGTAACTGACATCCGTCAAATATAAGGTGGTTTAAAACTGATCTACACAACCTAGTTAAAGAATAGAGACTAAAGTTGTTGAGCGAATAAGTCACTTTACTTATTCAGCGAGATCTGTCAACTTTATGGAGCGACAAATACCTGCATCTTATGAGTTGGTAGATAAGTGCTCTAACTCATAAACCACCACCTTGTTAATTTTCTCTTGATGTACTAATGTAAAAGTCTACAGCTTAGTCTGATATACATTTTGTCAGGATGTACGTTATTTATAACTTGGTTACTTTTCCTATGCACATTATTCATGCCACTTAGATACTTCGCCTAAAATACGGTTCTCTTTGTTTATCAGTTGTAATGACCATAATTTATTTTAACCAAATATGGTGGGTCCCAGTTAACTTCGTACTCCACTTTCTTTTTAATTAATGGACGCATAGATATCTACTTTGTTGCCTATCTGGTTAGTTGGACAACACAGGGGAAACTACTAGACAAGAAAATGTAGTTAGGAATACCCGTTATAATAATTTGGGATCACGTCTTGACACAGTTGATCATTAAGAATTGCAAGACTATTAGGTTGACGTCAGTCACTCATTTGTCAGAAAGCTACGAAATGGTCAGGCGTAATTCTTAATTTTAGGGTTTGTATGGGCAATTATTATTTCCCCAATGTCGAGGGTTTAAAATAAAAAAAACATTGATTTTATGGGTAAATTACGGGGGTTTCGCTATGAGAAGGAATTCGAAGAGTGTAGGCGTTTTTTTATCCTTCAGATGACTGAATAGAGTGTTGACTGATAAATAAAAGGTAGCTGAGTGATGGCTTCCCGCGAGACCGGATTATTGACGTGACTCCCTGAATGAACTGATATAAAACATAACCGCATTCCAGGATACTGGGTTTCTTATCTAGACAAAAAAATACGATAGTATTCAAATTAGTAACCGAAAAATAGAATAATTCCTAATAATAAATGACTTGCGAATATCAGCTTTCGGCTTATTTACTCGCCAACGGACCGAGATGACTGTTATACCTGGTTCTCATCAACTCAAGGGTGGGTGTTTGACTTTTTATCTGAGTTGTCCATGAAGATAGATCGTGTCGAGTGAAAGCATTACACTCCGATGGATATTTTCTACCCGTATAGTACGAATAGCCCTGAAATTCTATAATCTAGTCTATTAATTAAGATATGTCTCTGTAGTCGGATGGAAGCGCTTAAAATTTGCCCACTATCTTCATCTTTGAAATACGTGAATAATAGCGATTTGATATTGTGACTGATTGAATTAGTATTGTGAAGGACTGTGGTCCGACTGATCTCCGAACTAAAGTCTCACTTCAAAATATCTTATATCTCATCTAGTACCGGAGCCTCCAATATGCGAAGCTCAATAAGTAGTGAACTTATGACGAAACTATCCAAAGTTGTCTGCCTTTTTACTCATCATCGTCTTAGGCTTTGTTATTTTATTACACTAGAATAGTTTTATACTCAGCACTTAACACTACTCCATCCAGGTATATTCGACTACCAATAACAATCTAAAACATTATTGAATTATTTTGTATCTAACTAGACAACTTTAAAGAAAAGAATGCCTTTGTTAGAACATAAAATCATACATAAAGGTGTTGAACTAAAACCCTTGTTTCTCATTAGTATAAAGTGAAGAATGTTGAATATCATACGGCCGCCTACTAATGGAATGAATTTTCTGTTTATATATATATATTGTTATTTTCAACTTCTATTTTTGGGTATCATAAATTTTTTCTTTCGAGTTTGTATGCAACTCAATCTTCACAAGTTATTGTCACTCTTCTAAAGCCTTGTATTTTTTTACTTGTTTTAACGTTTTAAGAATAACAAATTGACTGAACTTCATCATAAAAAGTGGGGATGTTCCAACGAAGAGAAGTTTCTTCTCGATGAAATCATTTACTTGGATTATATGATCGTATTTATAGTCATATCGTTATGTCAATAATAGTGGCACTAAAATTTAATCTAAATTACTTAATAATTAAGCGGTAATAAGAACGAAATAAACATAAGTAACAGCGATAGAGAAGATAACTCTTCACTTGACGATCATGAGGAAGATAAAATATATGAACCGACACATGTCGAAGGATAGCTTGTAAATTAACAAGGAGATATTAGAACTACGGTAAAGTAAAGGATTGGTGTGGTGTTTGTATGAACTAATGATTCCTTTGTGATTGTCGGATGCTTGATTTTGAATTCCAAATATAGTACATTCGTTCGTGCTTATCTATTACTTCTTGACCATTTCTGGGATTCTATTGTGGACCGCGGGGTGGGATATTTTTCTGAATATCCCAACAAATTCCTAGTCTTTATCATAATTCAAATACCTCTAATTATCATAATTGGATGTACCACTTTTGAACTCAAAGACCACATTTGATTTTAATGGATGACAGTAAGTATAATCATTTTTAATTTCGTCCATCGTGATCTAACTGAGGATATACTTCGATCATTTTGTGGTATTTACTTTGTCCGTTTTAGTTGATTATAGACAATTGTTAGTTTCTTTGAATACTTTCCCTTGAAAACCTTTACTAACAAGAATTACCTTTATTGAAGATTACATTTCATCTCAATTTCAGCATTTTATCTTATTATGTTGAGCCTTCTTTTCTCAATTATAATTTCCTTATCTATCTTTATGATGAATGTTCAAACCCTTAACAATAAAATCATTATAGGTCTCCCTGACAAAAATAACATTTTAAGAACGTTGTTTATTCTACTTCACTGTCACCATGTTTAACAGAATTTCATTATCACTGTTATTATCATCATTATCATCCTGAAAGATAAATAAGTATTTGCGACTGTACAGCTTGGAAAATGAATTCGCCGAAAAAAGAACTCTTCACTGAATCGATTTTTCTTATTTTAAATATGGGTCAAACAGGGTTTTCTGCCAACTACCTAAAACCTAATGGCATCTTAACATAATGAACGGTAATCTCGCGCCACTTGTAGCAGTACCCACACGACAACCTAGTCGGTAGAATTCGATCACCATTGAAGGAATAGACAAGCCTGACGCTGATCACTTCCCAATGATCAACCAACTGTACTGATCAACATCACATTTGAAATACTATTGAAAAATTAGAAAATGCTACAAATATTTGTCATACCAGCATTGGAATCCTCTAACAATGTTCACCCATAGCCCTATGAAATAAACTATGTACAAATAAAACTGCTGAAGAATTTCATACTAGATGGAAGGATTTCCGACAACTCGTTTTTTGCTAGTAAGTACCTCAATCAAACTAAATTCGTGACAGTTGAGTGCTACATTTACCAAAAGGTAATTTTCTAAACATTTGATTTTTACTTTGTTATTTGTCGGCTGGGTATCCAAGGTTGAGGTGTCTGTTCATGTGGAGGGGGAGATTTTTCCTGCTATATTTAAAAAATACCACTGACGACAGACAATGACATGCAGGAGCTCCGGGTAAAGTTAACAATGGCTATCCAAACGAGACTGTGAGCGTATAATATGGGAGCCACTGTGTCTAAGTGAAGATTCAAGGAATGTGCAAAAATCGAAGGTAACTGTTAAGTGACTGTGTTTATAATAATAAATAAAATGAATATTACTATTCTGTGTGAATACCTAAGAACGTTACACGACAATGTGTCACACACCATTCTCAAAAGCTACTAGAAATGAACTAGTTACTGAATATTAGTAAGTAGTATAAGATAGTAAGAAAAAGAGGAAACCAAAGACAGAGTAAACGAATTTAACCAGCTAAATCTGTGGATACACTGGTGTAGAAATATCATATTTATGAAAAAAGGTAAGTTAGCAATTGAAACAGATCATCGCCAATGAATTATGAAATTTAATCTATTGTTTGATTGAATTGCTTGATGGAGATAAAATTCATTTATAGAATATTCGGCATAACAGACCCACCACACCAAATAATTAGTTGTTAAGGATTAGCAAATATCTCTGAAAGAAATATCCCGTCAACTCAATCCGATACCAAATACAGACGAACCTGACTAATACCTTCGTAACAGTTAACAAATCCACAAAATCAATAGCACTGTAAGTCTTCTATATTTGATGCTGATCACATCAGTTTTGATGAACTCACCTATCTGAAGGCCCTTGGTCACGCATCCGCACCAGATCACGAGTGGGCACGCTGTGCTCAACTTCTCCTGCAACCGCTAGCTAGCTTAGATCAGTCGCTTTTCGATATATCAACAGCCTATCAAATATACCTTCGAACCTCTTCGCTTACGACTTCTGATTTCGCTGGGTTGGCACGTTTCGATTATAGAAGGTTTTACTGGTTAAGATGTTGCCAAACCCCAAATATTTGATGCATCGTTACGCTTTTAGGTAAATATCACTGCTGAGCCGCCTATCGTTAAAACCAAACACAAAGTCCACTGCAGAAGTAGACTAAAATGAAGCGACCGCGTAGTGCATCAACTTAAAAAAAGTGTCCGAAAAGTTCTCAATCAAATAGTAGACATAAACAAAAACTAAAAATCTGCTTGTACCAAGAGTTCAATAAAATTTTCAACAGTGTTTCTGACGGAACTCCTATATTTCTCCCAGAAACTTTTAGAACCATATGATCATGAACACAGATTTTACCACACTAGAACAGAAACTATTATTAGATA